GCTATTCAGCGGAGGCTGTAAAGTAGTGGAAGTGGTGGGAGTAGTAGTATTCCTCGTATCAAGGTATACTCTGTGCTCTGTGCTCTGTGCTCCGTACTCCGTATGATATGGTAAGATGGTAAGGTAAGATTCTAGTACTACCAATTCGGAGCAGGCAGTTCCATGGGTCAGACCGGAACCAGCCAGCCTGGGTAGCCCACCGTTCACCCGTGTTGACTCCTTGTTTCCGTCTGGCTGTACTTCGTATGAGTAGTTACATACGGAGGAACAGGGAACCGTGCACTCGCTGTCTGAACACATTAACACAATCGGACGGGTCGGATAGGTCCGAATTTGGAATTCCCAGAATCGCCTTGGCCAACACGCAGCCTCCCCCCCCGCCCACACATCCCGTCTTTCATCCTCTGCGTCCTTCGTCCTGGAAGTTTCTCGAGTGGGTGGATCGGTGTCACCTCTGGGCAACTCATATTCGACCAGCCTCCTTGTCTTATCCCCACCGGTGATGGAGCCAGGTCCTTAAAGGGAACCTTCCAATCACACAGCCCCATCTAATTTCATCGCGTGCCCTAGGGTATACTACTCCGTACTGGAGGGGGGGAAGGGACGCGAAATGTCCCCGAGGCTCAGCTCTACTTTGTAGAGAAAGTGGGACGGGGGCAGCGATGTGGAAGTGGGACCGGGCTTTTTTTTCTTTTCGAGAATAAACCAACTCGCACACCATAGGCTGGGTGGAGGTAGGAAGAGACTGGATACACTGAAGAGTATGACCAACCAAGATGCCAGATAACGAGGGGAAAGGAGTGTGAACCTGCGGGAACGAACGGCATGGGCCTCTCAGTTGCGTGCATTTGGCGCCGAAGCTGTCTTCCCAAGGGCGGCTAAAATTAGAGCTGCAAGTGGTGATTGGCTATGGAGGTAGTATACATACGTTACAAGATCCCATGTATGGAGTATACGGAGTATACTCAGTATACTTGTATGATACCCGATACAGTGACCAAACTCCTCCCTGCTCCTGTCTGCTCCTGTCTGCTCCTGCCTGCTCCTGCTCCTCGACCCTCCACACCCGTACCATACCGTACTGGCAAATTACAGTGGGGGCAATCGAGATCTCTAACACCCGTACTGTAGAATCTAAATAAACCATTGGCAGTAAGGGTCCTAAACCTCCCCAAAAACTTCCCCCCCTCCATCATCTTCACCTCTTCTACCTTTCCCTTCCTTCCCTGACTGTACGAGGTTTCATCATCTGGACCTCTTTTTCCCTTCCCTTCCCTTCCCTTCCCTTCCCTTTTCCACATTCCTGTTCCCCGGAGGAACCACCGCCCACCCATTCAGGCCCTACCCGGCATTCTCTCCAATTCAACCGCCTTGCCCTTTTCCTTTCTCTCTCTCTCGTTCTTTTTTTAAATCACCTTTTCTCGGTTGTCTCTGTCACTCCTTCGTTCCCTTCGCCCATCTTCAATTCGGTCTGCGCCCTTTGTCCACATCTGTTGCGCAACAACCACTCGGGCCAACTCTTAATCTAGGTACGTTTTGTGACCACCCAGTGGGATCCCCCGTCACCTCCACCACCAAATGCATCGTTACAAAGGAAAATAAGAAAGATGAAGTCTCCTTGGGAAATGGAACTCGTGTCTGAGAATATTTCCAACCGGCTTTGCATGGTCGCCGATCATTATTCCAACCCTTGCTGCTTGCGCTTGCCGCCTAGATCATGTTCGAAGCATAGCTGACATCACCTTGAAAAGAACCGCGGACCTCATTTGCGCAGGCAGCAAACTTACCTCCACGCTCTGATCACAACGAATGTCCCTCTAGCCTGGCTGCCCTTGCCCTCCTGTGAAATACCGCGGTGGGCTTGAGAGGGTCCTTCCTTTCCACCCACCACTACAGACCCCAAACCATGCCGGTACAAACCAGTCCACTGTCCTTCCCGGACTCGTTCCCGTCGTTCATGTCCGTTTATGGTGGTCTGCCGCAGCGATATAAGGAGGAAGAGAACGTGATCCATCCTCTTCAAGTTCCGACCCATATTCCTGTGAATACTACATCAGCTCGACGCTTGCTACCATCTCCCAACCCCCATCGCGAGAGCGTCTCGTCGATGACCTCGACCTCCACCGAATCCTCTCCTACCACGACGATTTCGCCCTTTGACTCACCTTCTGGAGGGGATATCTCTCCCAGCTCTTCGCCGGAATCTCCTTCCGCCATGCCCCTTTCCTACCCTAAATTCACGCCTCCCGTACGCCCTCTAGATGTGGCACCGAGGTCCATGATGTCGGCCGACAGCACCCGACTTTTGAGCTCGCCAAACATGGCCCGTTCCGATTCCAGCGGGAAACGCGCGCGCAACCTGAAGAACCTCAGTTTGCGTGTCCCCCCCGCCATCGCAATCAAGACCGCCAATTGCAACCGCCTCGGTAATGGAGTCAACCTCCAATACCCACCTTTCCGCGCCACCATCTCCCTTCCCAATGGCCCCGAAGACCGGCCGTCGACGTCCCGCCAACCTCACCATCCAAACACCCGCTTTTGACAAGTCCTTCTTAGAAAAGGGCGCTGATCTTGTCCCGCCGACTCCGCTCGGGCACCAGTCTTTGCGACATGCCGAATCCTCGCCATCTCTCGCCTCGATCACATCCCCTTCCTTTGCTCCCCGTGGTGGCATGCAACTTCCACGCCCAATTTCGCACCATGGGTTACGCCCGCTCTCGGGCACATCTTTCGAGGACACGATCACTCCTATGACATCCTTGCAGGAGGACAGCTCTTCTTTCTCAAGCCGAGTTCTTCATGGCTTGAAAGAGGAAGATGATCATCCAGACTCTCGAGAGTCAACCCGCAAAACTTCGCGTGGTTACCCGAACGGACCCGTCCGGATATACGATTCTGGAGTGTTTTTGTACCTCGAGCCTACTGCCGAAGAAGCTGCCAAGTTTGATGTGGTGATCAACGTTGCCAAAGAAGTCGCCAACCCATTCGACAACCAGAAGGGGACAGAGCGTAATGACACAGTAATGAGCACCTGGCGCAATGCATCCAGAGCTTCGAAGCGATTTTCCAACGGTGATCCTCAAACTGCCATCTCGGAAATTTCTTTTAAATCCGCCTTTGAGTTCCAGCCCTCCGACTCTGAATCGCCCACTCCGACTCCGACAACACCAACGCAAACCTCCATGTCTACTACCCCAGAATATCTACATGTTAGCTGGGACCACAATTCGGAAATTCTCGATGATTTGCTACCACTTTGTGAACTCATCGACGACCGTATTGAGGAAGGCAAGAAGGTTCTTGTTCATTGCCAGCTTGGAGCCAGTCGCTCTGCGTCGCTAGTGATCGCCTATGGCCTCTACAAAAACCGACACATGGACTTCAATTCGATGTATGAGCAGGTCAAGGCGCGCAGCGAATGGGTCGGTCCCAACATGAGCCTCATCTACCAGCTGACAGACTTCCGTTCGCGGCTGCTACGAGGAGCCTCATCGAAACCCCCTCCTCGGGAATGGTTTGTCTCGACCGGCCGCAGATGCTCTGAACCCCAGGTGACAAGAGCCGAACGGGAAGAAGCTATGAAGCGTGCTAAATCGCCTTTCCGAGGCCTTGCGCAAGCGCCTTCAATGGGCTGCTTGACCCTGCCGTCCACGAGTCCGGTTCGACCGAAGACCAGCGATAACGGGAACAAATCGCCCAAACGCAGCCTCTCCCCTCGACCATTACCATTTCGCCAAAAGTTCCAGTCAATCGAACCTGCATCGGGTCGCCCACGAGGCTTGCCACGCAGTGTTAGCAGCTGCGATCCTCTCGTCCAGACTCATGTCTTCGTGCGTGACGCCCCCGACCAAGGACCGGGCGGGATATTCTCACCCAGAACCTCGGGGTTCATGGTTCCCCCTGTGCCGTCCATTCCACCGCAACATCTGAGGATCGATCGTTCTGCCGCGGCTTCTCCTCCGCCTGTTGCACCTTCATCCAACCCCGCCCAGTATGCCAACAAAACGGCAGACCCTCGTTCTCCTCCAACAGGAGGTGAGCTTCTTATCATGAGAAGCATCGACGAGTTCCTTTAATTGGCACCTGGTATTCTGAAGTCGTTCTTCGAATCCAGGGCCTGAAACGAGTCTACGACCTGACATTTCTGCATGTCTTATCGATTCTGAAAGAATCATTTATTTCTTCAACACCGGCCTTTCTCTTTTTGCCAACCTTCTACTTCTCCAGTCATATACCCTTTTGACCGGATTGATGATACCATGACCAAAGCGGGCTTTGCTGTCGCTCATCGCCTTTTACCATTACCTTCTATTTGCAGTCGGCAGGTCTCACACTCGAAACCCGCCGAATCCATTGCTACACTTTTTCTCCCTCTCCTTGAATTCATTTCCGGCGTCATGGGTGCGAAAATGAACACCACGGACTCATCTAGGGAGAACCATCGAATCCCCCGAGTCCGGGTAACTGTAATACTATTATTTCGGAGGATGACTGCACCACATTTTCACACCTTGCATCGGTTGTGCCTGATGCCAACCCAGCCTTCGCTTATCTTTCCTTTTGACTCTTGTCGCATCTGTTGATATGACAAGGCCTTCGTTATCTCTTTTCCTTGCTTCTGGTTCCTGAATTCCTCGCCCGTGCGCAAAACTTCTGCGATGCATCGGTCGAGGACGGAATAACAAATACCCCCTGTGCGCAGTCTATAGAAATGGAAGCCTCGAGCTTGATCTATAATTGATTCCTGTCGTAGTATTGTAAGCTATAGTTAATATATGCAAACCGTAGGCATTACTCATCTTAATAGAAAAAAGTCATCCAATCAACTTGGGCATTTCAATTTGGTTCCAATTATCCCATGGTGGAGGGTCATGTCGACCCTATTTGCGCAGGCCCACTACCCTAGAATTTGGGAAGCTGTCCCACATGGAGGTGATAAAGCGATAAGGAACGTCACCCGAATTTTTCCACGCATCCAACACCCTCACACGAACCACAAAATGACAGAAGAAGCTCATCCGACTTATCTATCACCCAGTGAGCTGGGCACTAAAGACTAGTAAGTGCCATTGAAGCCCCTATCCGCACCGATGGCCCCCGAGCTCGCTCCAAGTGAACCCGCGAGGGGCAGCAGAGGGCGGGGTATACGAAGTGTACTTGGGTGCTTTTTTTTTGGCTTTTTTTACATTACCATTCGCTGGCTTGTTATGCTATCCCCGTTACAATTATTATCAAGAAAATTCAGACCAAAAGCTAACTGTAATCACCACCTTAAGTTGGGAAACATACTACGCCCGCACGCTCGCGCACATCTCCAACCCCACCGCAACAGAAGAACAAGAAAACGCCCACGATGAGACCGCCAATGACGAAGATTCAGACGCAGACTCCGTCAACGACGAGGATGACCCCGGCACCTCCTGGTTCTCTGAACATAATGCCCCGGAAAAGGTGCTCCGTTTCCTGACACGCTCGTCCTTCCCTCTCTCTCCGCGAGCCACGCGCGGGTCTGCGCAACCGAGTGTTCTTGACCTGGGAACGGGAAATGGAAGCATGCTTGCTCTTTTGAGGAAGAAGGGTGGGTTCCGGGGGGGAGCTAGTCGGGGTGGATTATTCGGCGCAGAGCGTTTGGTTGGCGAGGGAATTACAGCGGACGAGGGGCCATTCGGCTTATCATACTGATTCCGAGGATGAGGAGGATTCTGATGAGGATGTGGCTGGCAACGGGACGGGAGCAGAAAATGCTCTTGTCGAGCCTCGTGAGATTCAATTTGAGGAATGGGATATTCTCGGTTCCAAGGCTATTCTCTCCCCATTTGGGACAAAAGTTTCGCCCGCTGATACGGATGAGACGCTTTCGTGGTTTCCGTATTCACGCGGTGGATTTGATATTGTGCTTGATAAGGGGACTTTCGATGCTATCTCCTTGGCTGGAGATGCGAAGGAGACCCAGGTTTGTGAGCGGTATCCTGGCATTGTCCGCCGGTTGATTCGGACTGGAGGGTTCTTGATCGTAACGAGTTGCAATTGGACGGAGGAGGAGCTTGTGCATTGGTTTACAGCTGCCGAGGGATCTGACCGGTTTATTGTCTGGGGCAGGGTTGAGTACCCCCGGTTTAGATTTGGGGGACAGGAAGGACAGGGTGTGTGTACAGTCTGCTTCCAGAGAGTTGTGTCTTAGATTTTCTTGATATGTGTTTCAAACTTCTCACGAATGATGTCTAAATGTGCAAATGGTATTTCTATCTCATCTAACGGACTGTATTTCGTTATCATTATCATAGTATGGTCTCAATGGGCATGCTGGAAGACAGACCCCATTGAACCCGTCCTTGTACATTCGTAAGCGAGAGGATACAAATACAAACGTAAATGTAAATGCAGGAGTGACTTCACTCCTCTACCCGCTTCAATACACAAATAGCGCACCACCTTGCACGCGTCCCAGGGCCGTCGCCGTCTCGCTCGGGCTTCCATTCCCGTCGAATCTCACGGCCATCCTCACATTGTGCTATGACATCCCGCTCAAAGATACTTTCGATGCTGAGACCGTTCTTGAGAGCAGTTTCGAAGAAGTCTGCGACGATCTCTCGGCCTGTATGGAACGGCGCGACTACACACACATGGCCACCAGGAGCTAGGAACCACTGCATTGTGCGAGCGAGATTCTCGTGCTGCGCCCTCGACCAGTAGCAATCAGCAGCGATGATGCGGGTAAAGGCACCTCGGTTCTGTTGGGAAAAAGGATCGTCCATGACCCCCCACTCATGTGGTTGAATGGAAACATTGGCCGGGGGTATTGGAGAGCGGTTACATAAATTGTGGTCCATATTGAATTGGAGGGTACCCGTCAATGCGGGGGACAAGGGGTGGTCCGTTGCGACGACGGTGGATGCATTGGCAAGGCTGCTGACGAGGGAGGGAAGCCCGGCACCTGGCGAAGCAGTAGGTATCAGTATCGAAACTCAGTAGAGGATTTTGGAGCTTCGTCGTAGAGCAATAACGGAGAGCGAGTATAGGACCAGCTTCAAAAGGTTGTGACTTACCAGCGCCTAGCTCCAATACACTCTGATCCGTGACATTCCAAATCTTGTAGGCCTCTCTTCCCATGGCCGTTGGATTCGTCGCGTAAATATGCGCATTCTCGATACCCTCTGCAGCGATCAGACCTGCGCTCCACACGAAATGTGCGAATAGTATCCGTCCCTCTTGAACTCGACCTGTGTCATCTGCACCTCCATTCTGTTTTGTGACCGTCTCCCCCTCGGCGGCAGTTTTGTTCTGTGTTGGGTAGGAAGGCACTGCGATCTCGAGATCACCAAAGCTTGGAGACGTGTAGAGCAGATGCTGACCTGGATTGCCGAGGAACTGCGGGGCATCGTCTGGGAAGAGGTTCGGTATGGACGTCTCGAAGAAATCCTCGGCTGTTTCTTCTACCTCATTCTGATCATTGTCCTTGAAGTCCGGTGCGGGTGCGGCAGCTATGGAAGAAGCCTGAGGGGAGCGGCGGAGGGGACGCACGCGAGAGTGTAGGCTTTGCATTGTAGTCGATCTTGGTCTACTTTGTTTTTGAGCAGACTTCTGGCACTCCACGTATCGAGGTTCCACGAGATGTAATTGCAATTGGGTGACCAAACCACAGTTTCAAATCGTTGTCGCAATTGCACTCAAGGTGACTTCGTATCCAAGCATACCTTGTAGATAGTGTCGTCAAATTAGGTATAATTTTCTTACTCGTATGGCGCTCCTAAAAAAAAAAAGTTGTTTGTAGTGTTTGTGAAGAACATGTCATCATAGTGGAGCTGGGTTCTGATACAGAGTCAGAGTCCGAGTAATGGAGGGGCCCAATGTCCTTTGTGTTGGGATGCGAGACATCCCAATTGCAGTTATTTTTGAAAAGTGTTATGGTGATTTGCAGGTTCTTAGGGAGCTGATCGAATGCTTATCGAATCTGCAGGAATATTTTGATTATTTTTATTTTTTATTTTTCATTGTATTTTCATTTTTATTTTTATTTTTTCCCGGGTGTCAGCCGCAGGAACCCAGGCCCATGTTTATGCGAGGAATGGAGCCGGGACCGGAGCTCGAGAATGTGCCAGAATGGTTTGCTTCGATGGGCGCAAAGGTCCAGAAGTAATGCAGCTGAGCCAAGGGGGACAGCTGGAGGGGGCAAGGATCCTCGGGCTTAGCGCTCGGGCTGGCGCGAGAGGAGATCTGATCGTCAGGAATGCAAGTCCAGCTGGACAGGCTGTGCGGGCTTACAGGCCAGTGCGGGCCAGTGTTAGTGCCTAGTGCGCAGTGCCCAGGAGGTCGAGGCGTACCACAGTGGGATAGCTTGCCCGAGTATGTAGCCCGAGTATGAGTACGGAGTACAGAGTAGAGGTCAATGAGGTGCAGTATGACACGGTATCGCAGACGACAAACCATTGCTGTATACTACTAGTATACTACTGCTACTACTGCTACTACTGCTACAGGAGTGGCAGTGGCAGTGGCAGTGCCCATCACGTAATCAGGGAATCCCATGACTTCCCCTATCGCTGCCCTGTTTGGAAGATGACATCACTGCCTCCACTCGTGGCCAGCCTCTAGACCGGTCGATATGCTGCAGGTGATCAACCCCCTCCTCCTCCCCATCTGACTGGCTCAATCCAACTTGACTAACTAAGTCACTTGGCCCTCCCGTTGTTCATCCTCGTTCGCTATGGTCTACCAGGAAACCATTTCCCTCGCCTTCTTTCGGGGCGGGTGATCGTCAGGCAACAGATGTTCCATAGTACTCTGTATGGACGAATACTCTATTCCTTGGGCTTTCTTTCCATCCAATGCAGGCAGCAACCGGATAGAACGTGCTAGGCTGCCCTGTTCGGTCTGACTCTCGATCATCCCATTGTCGGGCCCTGAGGTTCCAGATCCATGGGTGGTCCAGGGTGCCTGGTTGCAAATCGCAAATCGCAAATCGCCGACTGCCAAAAAAAAAAACCACCCTAAACTCTGCCCTGCAGGGTATCTTTCCGAGGAGGAGGGGAAGGAGGAAGGAGGGGAACCTCTTCGGCTCTCCATTGGGGATACATATACCTCTCCTGTAAGTGGAGAGGGGGGTTTGACATCAATTTAGAAACCAGTACGGAGTACAAGCCACATATTCGCATTGTCAGGTTCACTGTCCATGCGACCCGGATCAGAAGCGAAGTGGAGCCATGGTTATCGCATCATCCGAGAGGGCCTTGCGACGCACAAAGCCTCGCCCCTCTACAACAAAGAACAGATAGATTGAGATTATTCTGTAGAGTAAAAGAAAGAAAGGTTAAAAAAAAGGAAGTGAAGTACTACATGCAAAAAGAGTAGATCGAACCCGATTTATTGTACTGTGTTACAAGCGAAGATCCTCTCTTTGCCCCCCCCGCATGCTCAAAGGGAGAAGTCCCCGCAAAGCAATGAGCCATTTTGGTGGGCCACACCATACCGGGACCTGCTCCTCCTTCTTTCTCCTCTTTCTCCCCTTCCTTTTTTTTTTTTTTTTTTAGGAATTCCTATTCTCTCTCTCTCTCTCTCCCCATCGATCTTTCATCCTTTCGCTCTTCTCTTCTTCGCATCTCTCTCACATTTCCATACTCACCACTCAGATCTCTTATACATACGACTCCCATCCCACAAACCCACTAGCCGCTCGACCCTCCGCGTCATTCCACCCGCTTCCACTCGGAATTGAGTGCGTCTCACGACTCTAGGGGCTTTCAAAAAGATAGATTGCCAGAAAGCCCTCCCACAATGGCCTCATTCAAGGTATGTGCCATGCACGGAACCTACTTTTGGTTCCCTCTCGCTCCTCCCATTTCTCCGGTGTTCCTAGTCCATCCCGGGTGCTGATGATGTGTCACCGGTCCGCCATTATAGGAATTGTCCCTCTCGCGTCCCCTCCCCCCCAAACCAGCGTCAACACGCACACTCAATCTCTCTCGGTGCCGTCAATGCCAATCATCGCGTAACGCGTCGGAAGAGTGTCACCACCGCCGCTGTCAATGCCGCCGCCGCGGTCGCGGCCTCTTTGCAGGAAGGCGGAGAGTCTATGTCGCTCCCCATGGCCGCGCACCGCCGCAGCCTGGGTGGCCGCAAGGGACTGGAATCTACTTCGGTAGGAGGCGCCTCGGGTTTCAGCTCGTATCTCTCCCGGAGTATGAACAGCCCTAGCCAGGAACCACCGGTCGCCCGCAAGGCTTCCCCGAGCAACTCGGACGCGGACGGCAAGGCTATCCCCAAGGGCCGGAACCGCCGTGCCAGCGAAGGCGCTCAAATCAAGCTTGATGGGAAGCGCAACCCGGCCTCAATCCGCTGCGACCGTTGCGGGAAAGGGTATAAGCATGGCAGCTGCTTGTCCAAGCATATGTGTGTATCCCCCATACCGCCCGGTCGTCTTCTCCTTGCTCGATCGGGAGCATGCGCCATGTCGGCTCTGTGCAGGTCGCCCTCGTGGTCATTGAACTCCCGACACTTTCCCATTCCCCCTCCTTCCCACTCCTTGATTTCACTGGTGGCATCTGGTTGACGTCTTTTGTTTGTGGTAACTTAGGTGGGAACACGACCCGGCGTGGGCGATTACCTCGAAATTACTCATTTCCAAGCACCAGCAAGTCCAGCTGCTGGAGGCCGCCACCGTGTTGGTCGGCATGAACGACCCTTTAGACGAACTTCCCGAGGAGTCCGCCGAAGTCGAGTCGGTGATTTCCTCTGCGTCACCGGACGCCTCTTCGGATGTACGGGATGGAGTCAGTTCGGCCGAGACGACACCGCCACCTCTGGACGAGCAGGAAGAGGACGATGACTTCGAAATGTCAGGCATGCCGGCCAACTGGACTAAACGCCCTAGCATCGGTAACGCTTCGGCCGCTTTCTCCCGCTCTTACCAGTCGATCCCCTCGAGCTCGTACAACGGCAGCGCTCCGCTTCACTCGCCGGCCTTCTCTCACTTCCGCAAGTCCAGCGTTGACACCCGTCCATCCACCGCCGACACCCGACTCAACGAGGAAGATGAGGCTGATTTGGCTGCTGCCATCGGACTCTGCAACTTTGGCACCCCCCGCACAGGGCCAGTTTCTATGACCCCTGATGTCCCTCCGGTGCCGCCGCTGCCCGCCCGCTACCTCGACTCCGGCAGCCACCCGAGCAACCAGAGCCCGGGTCTCGGCCACTCGGGTTCCATTAATGACGCTCTCCGCCGTGACTCCAATGCCGAGTTGTTTCTCTCCGCCTCCCTCAACCCATCTTTGTCCTACAAGGTATCTGACGAACGGGGAGTGCGAACTAGTGACATCAAGACAAATGAGACCCGGCACCGTCGCAACGCAGACGTGGACTTTGGCAGCCGCCGTGCTCCCGCTGATGACGATGATGATGGTGTTTTCGGCCAGATGGAAGAGTAGTGCTCTTGATCTTTGGCCTGAAATTGCCTGTGAAGCCGTCACATCAGCCGCTTGCGCATGGCGACGACTCTTATCACGACGAAATGTACGAGCTTGAGCGTTTTTTTTTTTTTGGGAACCTTCTTGTCTACATGTTTTTTATCCTTCACGCTTGCATAATGCAGGAACGCGCTCTAGACCGAGTTACCTGATTTTCTGATGACTTGGAACTGAGTTCCCTCTTCGCAAGACGTGTGTTTCGGGACCTTTATTGCACTTTGGAGGGGATCCCATGTATCATGTCTCCTTGGTCCTATTTCCTTCTCTCTTTTTGTTTCCCTTTTCTCCTTGATGCTCCTGCTAGTTCTTTCCCGCTTTTCTTTTTGTTCTGGAAACCGCATAAATGGCCGTGATTGGCCGGCGCATATCTATCATCACTCATATCCCATACCTGCCCATCCTTCATGCCCTTTTGTGCTCGTCCCTTGTCTATCCTATTTCTTTTTCCCGCGTCCACTTTCGCACATATACACCATACTCATCTTGAAACTCCAATATCCCAAGTGTTAAATCGTCCGCTCTCTTTCTTCCGTTTCCTTTTCCTGACGCTCTCTCACTCCCATATGTATTCAATGAACCTGCGGACGAGCACACAATGAATATAAACCATTAAATTAGAGATTATTCGCATACATATGAACCTTCATAGCCACCATTGACCCAGTGTTTTTACCAGGGCGGCAACGTCCCAAGATTACTAGTCTTCCCCATAAGGCTTTGCCATCCCTTGGTGAAGCTATTCCACTGCCTACGCAATCACTTAATTCTCACAATTCGGGCTGCTGAGTATATAACTGGGTATGATACCAAAAACTAGTAGTATAATGTTAATCTTTAGTACTATACCAGTACTGGCTATCCACATTACTGGCATAGTAGCGCCAAACAAGTACTTCCTGGCCCTGGCTATAGGTATTCTACACCTATTTACATAATATGATAGTCAGTGTCTAAACTTGTATAGGGAACACTATCAATTTTGGGACTCTTGCCGCCCCTGCAGAACACTGGGTCGATTGCAGCTATGGAGCTCGTAGGAATGCCATTAGTACTAGTACGAGATGTTTCATAACAACAGTGAATTTTAGGCTCCGTAAAAACATCCGTAATTACTGTTCCGGGGAAAATCTTCTAATTTCGAACTAGTTAGCCCAGATGGAAATAGGCGGAAACGTGGCACGCCGGCTGGAATGTGTAGAACATGCAGAACCCCCTCTTTCTCTTTGGGATGTGCCATCCTTGGTCTCAGTGCCCAATTGAGTCCCAAATGCTGAGTGACAATGAATGTTCAACTTGGATCTGATTTGAACCTGCAAATTTCGTGTGCATCCTGTGAAGGGTATCAGGTCCAAAATGAGGCAGCGTAGACGTACATTATTCCCTTTTGTCGAGAAGTTATAGGCACCATCTAGGCACGACCAATGGAAAGTTTTCTCAGCATGCTAGCTAGGTAGCTGGTCTACCGCTGTGGACCCAGCTATATACTAATATACTACTAGTACTTGTTGAATAAGAAACATCATGAGGTAATACAGACTACTACGGATGCCAGCCATGAGGGGTCAGAGAGAACTCATGAATTTATGTTCTGACTATATCTTGAGTCTGGCGAATAAGTAGGTAGCTGAATAATATACCAGGTAAACTACGTCCCTCTATAAAGGCTACCTGATATGCTGGTTCTGTTACGCTGAATGATGTTAGACAGACAATGCACAAGTAACTTACATTCCCTACATATAGGGTCCATGAATGACTAGTCTACTGCGATATTTCCCACCCAATACAGGGGAACAGCAGATGCTACTACTAGTAGTTAACATAACTACTACTCGAATTGAGAGAAAAGAGTTTTCATCTCACGGGAAGACGATGCTACTGCTGATAGAATGTAAAGCAGGTGATATCGATTGCTTTTAAGGTACCATACGGTAAGAACACCGTGATCACAATGACAATGCAAGCCCAACTCCAGTAATCGTGTCGTAGAGATTGAAAGAAACCAAACAAGAAAAAAGAAAAAATCCCTCCAGACGAGAGAAGAGAAGAAAGGCGAGACCCTTAATCCATATCCATCTCCTCCTCGACTCCACCATCCACCAAAACGCGGGCCTTCTTCTTTTGCCGCAACTTCTCCTCGCCGTGAACTCTGTTGGCGACCTTGTTCTGGTCGAGCTCCAAGGGACGGCCCTCGGCCTGCTCGCGCAGCTCCTTGCGAATGAGGTGCTCGCCCGAGGCGACAACCTTGCGGTCCTCCTCGCGCTGGCGGTCGCGGGCAATCTTGCCAGCGAGACGGCGCTTGGTGAATACACGCTCGCGGCGCTGCCGAATCTCCTCCACGCGCTGCATGGCCTGGACGGTGGCGGCGACCAAGTTGCGGTCGTACTTGACGGGGACGTTGCGCTTCTTGGCGAACTGCGAGAGGACGAGCGAAGAGTCGACGATCATTTCCTTGCCGCGGGCGGCACGGTGGCTCTTTGTCCACTTCAACTTGCGTGGCTGGCGCTTCATCTTGAAGTTCTTGTGGCACTTAGACCGACAGAATCGGAATTGTCGGGCATCGTTGCGGACGAATGTGATTCCCTTGCCCGGGAACGCGGGCGGGAACAAAAGTGGCAAGTCTCCACGCTAGAAAAGAAGAGTCAATTCTGATTCGGAGTGGTCCAAACAAAAGGAAGGGGGACAGGGACTTACCGCATGGTTGCTAGGAGTGATTGTTCTGGACTTCAAGTTGTATCTCCCCCAAAAGTTTTTTTTTTGCTTGGGAGCGTGGAGGAAAGAGCGCTAAACCCGATTAGGAAGGGGCCTTGCTGACTTTTCCCGCCGCGAAACCCAAACGTTTGGACTTCTTGCGCTTCCGAAGCAGTTCCATCCGCATTCCGCCTCATCCTCTTAATCCCTCGAAATGGCATCTACTCTTGCTGTTGGTTTCGGTATTGCTACCGCTGCCTTCTTGGTGAGTCCAATCTCGGAGATTCCAACGAGAACCAAACTGACTGTTTTCTCCCAGGGCCGCGCTGGTCTGGTCGCCTACCGCCGTTCCCAAGGTGGCGTCAACGCTGCAGGCAAGGCTTTCTTCAAAGGGTTCGTTTAATACTTTGGATATTCAAGGGTTACTGGATTTGAGATTACTGACTCGCTGTACAGAGGTTTCGAGCCACGCATGAACCGTCGCGAGGCCTCTTTGATCCTCGAGCTTTCGTATGTCTTCCCGGGTTGAACCAATTTGATTATATACAGTTTGACGAGTCTAACAATTTCTTTTCCCATCGATAGTGAGCGCCGATTGACCAAGGACAAGGTCACCAAGAAGCACCGCCAACTCATGCTGCTCAACCACCCCGACCGCGGCGGCAGTCCGTACTTGGCTACGAAGATCAACGAAGCCAAGGAGTTTCTCGAAAAGCATGTCTGAACAATGCTCTCGGTTTTTGGTCGTTTTAAACATCGTCCCCTTTCTCCGGCCAAGATGTGGTTCTTGTCTCCTGGGCCCGCGGGCCCGCGGCGCCGCGACGTTCCGGCGTTGCACGTCCCGAGAGATCTTGGCTGGATTTTGGGTGCATACATAGCGTGGCGTTTGGTTGATATTTCCCAGGTTGATGGGGAGAACAAACCGTTCTTCCCACAATCTTTCTGTACTCTATGCACATGTGTCATATACTCATACGAGATCGCCACTCCTCCTTGAATGTACTATTATCAATTACATACTATTTTCTTGATTGATTACCTTTCAAATCACCCGCCACGCCTAAAGCACCAGGATTAGCAAGTGGTCATCAATCATGAGACCGCTGATCGTTGTCTCGTTCCAGCAATGCATGGCGGACGCCTCGGCAAGTGGTGTACAAACTCCGTCAACCACCAAGTTTTTAGGTTCGAGTTGTCTTACAGATACCATGTTGTGAACATCTTCCTCCGATCGAGGAAGCAAAGTGCAACAGCAAGTCACAAAGGTTCTATATTGAATAGATTGAAAGTAGATTAAAACCGTAGTCCATCAGGTAGTAGGTACATTATGTACCCTTTTCCCCGGGAGACTCCACGGGGTCATCCACCTTGTACCTGATTGATAGCGGGACCAGATGGATTCGGCGCCGAACGGACGAAAGATCGGACGGAATTCATCGATTCCGCACCGCACCGCCACATCCCGTTCTTGGCTTTTAATTAAGGCAGCAGGCTTTGCGTGTCTTGAACTGGAGCTTTAGATTAAACTGCCCCTTTAGCTTAGGCTACTTCTTTGACAGAGAACGCTACTAGATATCATTCGCATTCGCATTCACACTAGGTTGACTCAGCGGGTCCTTAGTAACAACCTTCTATCGCCGAAAGACCATTCTCTTTTTGCCTTGTTCCGTTACATGCGTCATCCATTTGGAACCGACCTTGACGATATCCCCCCTCCTCCCCCTGACCTTGACCCTCTTCTCGCAAAGATCGCCTCCAAGGGGACCTCCGGAAAAAGCGCGTCTCCGAGACGCCTGATAGCCCCGCAGCTTCTTACTTAACACCGCCCTCTCCTCTCGACTCCACTCCGCGGAAGTTCCAGCGCGCGAAAAAGCGGGAAGCAAAAAGAATATCACTCTCAAAATGGACGGTCTGGGGGATGGCGATGGCATCGGATTTGACATGATGATGAACCAGGAGCCCCAACTGTTCGGTGGCTACCCCCACGATGGTTCGCACATGGCCGGCATGTCTGCGGGGTCTATGTACGCGGACGATTCGGCATTGGGCGCGGGGATGAGACCAACGAGGCGAAACGACGACGAATTGCCAGGGTATGCATCTCTGACTTGGAACACCCTCCTCCCACTCATGTCGAGGCTAACATATATCATTTGTAGGCATGCGATATGTGCCGGAAGAAGAAGATCAAGTGCGACGGCAAGATGCCCAAGTGCTCGCACTGCAGCAACTATAAGACGGACTGTGTTTTCACTCAGGTCGAAAAGAAACGGAATCCCCCGAAAGGGTATGTTATACCGCCAAGGGCGAGAAGTTATATCGGACAATGGAAATATCTGATGGATTGTGCAGTGCCAAATACATTGAAGGGTTGGAGAACCGCTTGGGTCGCATGGAGTCCCTCCTACGGTTGTCGGGACTTCTCTCTGAGGACGATAATGGCAAAACCGATCTGGGAACACTCGAAAAACGACTGGCGGATCGGACGAACGCTTTAAACGCAGCGAGAACTGTGAATAAGTTTTCAACTCCGAGTGCAACCCAGCAAACCGCACCCGCCTCTCACAATACGACACCGCACATGGATTCAGGCTCGAGCCCGCGCACAGCCGCTACATCCCCGGAGTCACAGAAGGAGTCAGAGACCGAGGTGGAGGCCTTATCAGACATGATGTGCTCGCTTGTGACCAACAACTGCGGCGAGACCCGATACATCGGTATATTGTACTCTTCCCCAAGGGAATTCCTTCGTTTCTAACCAATCTATAGGTTCCTCGTCCGGATTTTCTATCTTCTCTCCAAAGGGAATTCAATGGGTCAACGAAAAAACCGGTGATACTTCGTTCCAAGACATGATCTCGTCCGCCTACGTTGATGACAATAAGTGGATGTATTGGAAACCGGAGATCTTCAGCGATATATTCGCTCGGCGGGTCTTCAAGCCCCTACCACCGAAGGAAGAGGCGCTTTCTCTGTTCAAGGACTTTTTTGAGAATTTCAATTGCGTGTTCCCATTGTTCCACGAAGCCACGTTCATGCATCTCGTGGAAAAACAATATTCTCGGGATCCTTATGAAGGCTCTGGTTGGTGGGCCAGTATCAATGTCGTTCTCGCTATCTCACATCGACTTCGGGTGATGAGCAATTTGGTTCCTCACGAGGAAGATAAGAAAGCGTGGTTATACTTGAAAAATGCTATGGGTGTTTTGACCGAATTGACAATGAGGAATACGGATCTCTTGAGTGTTCAGGCATTGTTAGGCATGGTTAGTATTCTCCAAATGATTTTTTTCCCAATCTGGCTCTAACAAACCCACAGTCACTTTTCCTTCAGGGCACACCTAATCCCCAACCAGCCTTTTTCCTTGTTGCCGCAGCAATTCGTCTATCTCATAGCATTGGGCTACACAAACGCGGCTCTGGCTTTGGGCTCAATCCAGTCGAGGTGGAACAGCGGAAACGTGTGTTCTGGATCGCATACTGCCTTGATAAAGAGTTTGTGGCCTCAATATCATACATTCATATTTATACTAACTGCGAAATAGTATCTGTCTTCGATCTGGGCGACCCCCTGTACAGGACGACGATGACATGAATGTTGAGCTTCCCAGCGACGATCCACCTGACAATGTCGGGAATGTCCCACTTGCTGATGGCAAGGGCAAATTCAACCTCTTCAGGTCCCTTTGTGAATTTGCAACCATCGAAAGCAGCGTTTACAAGAGGCTTTACTCAGCCAAGGCCTCTAAACAGTCCGATGGAGAATTGCTCAATACCATTGGTGAGCTTGACAAGGAACTGGAGGATTGGAAAGACAACATTCCTGTCGACTTCCGCCCCGAACATGAAATCCAAGTCACCCACGGCCCTCTTCTTCTTCACGTCGTTGTTCTTCAGTTCTCATACTACAACTGTCTGACTACAATTCACCGCATGTCTGTGCATCATGGATATTGGACCAGCCGCTTGTCAAACTATGCGATTCAAGGTTTGAATGCCCGACCCTTGAACCCCAGGGTCTTCCTTTCAGCCGTTCTTTGTGTGACAGCAGCAAGAGCTTCGATCAACCTGATCAAGTATATTCCCCAGGGAGATTTTGCTTGCGTTTGGTAAGTTCTTCGCATGTCTCTTCGCCATGTTCTATTGCTAATATATGACTATTTTAGGCTAATCCTCTACTACCCGGTATCTGCACTTGTCACGCTCTTCGCTAATATCCTTCAAAACCCCGGTGATGCCCGTGCACGTTCCGATATCAAGTTGATGAATGTGGTGGTTAACTTTCTGTCCACTTTGGTTTCTGATGAATCCAATGGAAGCATCAAACGCATGCTTGGGCTCTGTGGAGAGTTCGAAAGAATCGCCAAAGTGGTTCTCGATAAAGCCGAGAGAGAATCGCACGCACGAAAGAAGCGAAAGACTGCGCCGGATGAGTCCGATCAATCACAGCGCGAGGCAAATGAAGGACAGACCGCAACATCCCCAAGACCCAAAACGCAACACGCACCTTCTACCTCTGGCCCCTTCTCACCATCCATGTTTGCCAATAATCCCGCTACCTCGGCCAACGATGCCAAACACTTTGGCAATGACCCCTCTATCCCTTCAAACACCGGCCTCCCTAATGGTCTTCCAAGTACCATTCACAACATGCCTGGCCTTGGACAAGAGTTCCCAGATATGCTTAGCCCGGAACAATTTGGCAATGTTCCTTTCTCCGACCAAGGCTCTTATGATGCCACTCCAAACATCGGGTCGTTCCAACAACCATTTGTTCCCCAGGATTTATGGCAGATGCCAATGACGATTGAATGGGACTGGGCAGATATGTCTACAAATTTCCCCGTTTTTGAATCCGGCGGTGTTGGCTCAAATGGCCAGCCTCAATGATCATGACCAAAGAATGAAATGACAGGCTGGCATTTAATGGTTCACATATTATGGCGTTTGCAAAAAGCGGGAGCTACAAGGAGTTCATAATTTTCTTTTTGGATTCATGGAACGGGCGTTCCCACATCCCCCATCATACTACTATAGTACTACATATCTCCTCTTCATGTATATTGAGAATCACATCTCTCCATCTCCCTCTCTTTCTCCTCTTTATTTAAAGTAATTTCTCATGCCAAGTAACTCCATGGCTTAACACCGCTAAATCCACCCTCCACTCGATTCGACTGGGTTCCGATGTCCACGTGACGTAGAGCCGGAACGGCAGAAAACCCGATGCGCCGAACCTGGCCGCAGGCGTGAGAGCTTCCCACCGCACCTCCAATTCCATCTATGGATTGCGCGAAGTTGTCCATCGCAACCGAAACCGATTGATCACCTTTCCCTCCCGCCCTACCAGCCCTCCGGGCTCTCTAATCCTCGACCATGGCCACCCTCTTGAGGCGGCCAGGCAACCTTGCTCGATTCTCGAGGAGAGCCACAGACTCCATCGGTCGTATTGGACCGTCCTCCGTGCGACTCCCTCAATCGAAGCTTTCTTCCCTTATTACATCGCACCGTGTCCGGAGCTTCGCCACACAGGGTCCTGGAGGCCCGACTCCCCCGGACGACAAATCCCGAAATCCCCAGTCAACCGGGAACGGCCCGGAGAACGATGGTCGCAAAGATGAGGATCCGAACAAGTCCGAATCGAAATTGACCGAGACAGAACAGAAACAACTCGATGACTTCATCAAGCACATTGAGTCGCGAATCCCGGAGTCGCAGCATGAGTCAACCCAACAAGTCCGGAAGCACTTCATGAAAAACGGCCTGCCCTCCGAATTGAAGGAATTCATGACAAACTATAAGGATGCCTCATTAATGGATTACCTCCGAATGGTGCGGTGGTTGTTCAAGTACGCCAATGAGCATGCCGACAAGATGGCACGGGAAGAAGTAGCTCGCGACATGAAGATTCCCCCGGAGGAACTTCAAAAGATGAAGAGCCAACAGCAGCCGGAGAAGGAGAGCGAAAAGGATGCCAAGGATAAGAAGCCGGAAGAGCAGAAGAGTAAGGAGGAGCAAGAGAAGAAGAAGGAGAAGGAGAAGGAGCAGGGGAAGAAGCAAAAGAAAGACCAGTTTCCCCCCCGGTAGCAAGGTCTTCGAGTTCCGTTTTGATCCCGCCTCTTTCTTCATCACTTCAGTTGTCACATACTACGTATACCGCAGCTTCTTCCCTGGAGATTCTGGTTCTCACGAGATCACCTGGCAGGAATTCCGCTCCAACTACCTCGAAAAGGGTCTCGTGGAGAAATTGACTGTTCTGAACCGCAGCCGCGTTCGGGTTGATCTCAACCGTGAGGCTTCGGCTCAAGCATACCCTGAATCCAATGGCCAACCCGTGTCGCATGTGCTTTTTAGCATTGGATCTGTCGAAAGCTTCGAAATGAAGCTCGAGCAGGCTCAATATGAACTTGGTATTCCCTCTGGGGAGCGGATTCCCGTTGCCTATGTTGACGAGGTCCCCTGGGGCAGTGCCCTGATGTCTTTCGCTCCTACTCTACTCCTGATTGCTGGTATCTTCTGGTTCTCGCGCCGTGCCGGTGGTGGCGGCGGCGGCCAAAGCGGAATCTTCGGCATTGGCAAGAGCCGTGCCAAGAAGTTCAACCACGAGACTGATGTCAAGATCAAATTCGCTGATGTCGCCGGTATGGACGAGGCCAAGGTCGAGATCATGGAATTCGTCAGCTTCTTGCAACAGCCGGAGCGATTCCAGAAGCTCGGTGCTAAGATCCCCCGCGGTGCTATCCTCTCTGGTCCTCCTGGTACCGGTAAGACTTTACTTGCTAAGGCTACCGCCGGTGAGTCTGGCGTGCCTTTCTACAGTGTCAGTGGTTCCGAATTCGTCGAAATGTTTGTTGGTGTTGGTCCCTCTCGTGTCCGTGATCTGTTCGCAAACGCCCGGAAGAACACTCCTTGTATTATCTTCATTGATGAGATCGATGCTATTGGAAAGTCTCGAGCCAAGCAAAACTTCGGCGGCGGTAACGATGAGCGTGAAAGCACTCTCAACCAAATTTTGACTGAGATGGATGGTTTCAATACCTCTGAGCAAGTCGTCGTCCTCGCTGGTACCAACCGACCCGATGTTCTCGACAAGGCTCTCATGCGTCCTGGCCGTTTCGACCGACACATTGGTATCGATCGTCCCACCATGGATGGCCGTAAGCAGATCTTCCGCGTTCACTTGAAGAAGATTGTCACCGATGAGAACATGGAATACCTCGAGGGTAGACTTGCTGCTCTGACCCCTGGCTTTGCTGGTGCCGATATCGCCAACTGCGTGAACGAAGCTGCTCTTGTTGGTAAGTAGCTAGTACGCCGTCAATTTGCTAGATTATTGCTAACTCCACTTCTTTTTAGCTGCTCGCGAGAACGCTGACAGGGTCGTCATGAAGCACTTTGAGCAGGCCATTGAGCGTGTTATTGGTGGCCTGGAGAAGAAGTCTCTGGTGCTGTCCCCCGAGGAGAAGCGAACCGTCGCCTACCACGAGGCCGGCCACGCTATCTGTGGTTGGTACTTCCGGTGGGCCGACCCGCTCCTCAAGGTCTCCATTATCCCCCGTGGCCAGGGTGCCTTGGGTTATGCCCAATACCTTCCTGCTGGAGGTGATACCTACCTGATGAACACCAACCAGCTCATGGATCGCATGGCTATGACCCTTGGTGGTCGTGTCAGTGAGGAGCTCCACTTCGATACTGTGACCAGCGGTGCCAGTGACGACTTCAACAAGGTCACTCGCATGGCTACTGCTATGGTCACAAAGTTTGGTATGTCCAAGAAGCTTGGATTCATTCACTATGAGGAGGACGGACAACAAATTCAGAAGCCCTTCTCTGAAGACACTGCCCGCAGCATTGACATTGAGGTCCGCCGCATCATCGATGAGGCTTATCAACAATGTAACACTCTTCTGACTGAAAAGAAGAAGGAGGTCGGCATCGTTGCCGAAGAACTCCTGTCAAAGGAGGTCCTTGGCCGTGATGATCTGATCCGCCTTCTTGGCCCGCGCCCCTACCCCGAGTCTGGCGAGTTTGCCAAGTACTTCGATGGTAAGGGTGGTGCGACCATTGCTCCCCCTGAGCCAACTCAGAACCCAGACGAGGCCTCAGGTAAGGATCAGACTCCTTTGCCATGATAGACGGCTCAGTGTGGTGGATGCTTTCGTGATTTGTCTGCATTTCTTGGCGGGCTTGTTTTAGTCAATTTTGCAGGGAGTGTGATATCACTGTGTCCTTGGTTTTTTTATTTGTATTTATCGATTTGCATCCCCTTTCCTATCTACTGTTCACTTTTTTTTCTCTCAAATCCCCCCTCCTACCTCTTTGTTGTGTCTCTCCACAAACAACTCCCTTCTTCCTTTCTACCATGTCGCGACTAAATATGAAGAGATTTTATCGTCTCTTGTGTCCGCTCAACCTCTATCTTGGGGTTTCAATGCTTCTATCTTTGCGGAAATTGTACTATAAGAAACTTTGAAACATGTTTTTAGTTGATGCCTATTCAAATCCAACGTAACTCGGTGGTCTTTTCGATACTCGATTCCTCTCCTGTTTCGAAGTAGCTGGTCGTCTACTGGCCGTCTATTGTTCGCCAATCGTGAAGAAAGGTTTGCTTTGCATCCATGCTATGAAAGAATCTAGTCTCAGTTACGGAGAATCTAGTGACTTGCGTACTTGAATGAAATCTCACTCCAAGTTCGCATTTGAGGCTGTCTACAAAACAATATCGACCCATTCATCACTACTAAGAAACAGTTAGATAGGTGGGACCAAAATATCTTCACTGACAGTGAGACACTGAGGCTAAAGCAAACAACTAATGGTTCTAAACACTTAGACTGTTTAATAGCCAATATTTTTATTTTCGGTAAAAACTTGAAGTCAAACCCTCAAGTCGCAGGAAAAATTAGATGGGTTCAAAAAATTGATATATGACAGAAAACAAAAGAAGAAGCCCGCCCAAGGAGATAGCATCATTTAGCCACTTCAAACCCATCCGTATGTTTAATTGCTCTTCTTGTCGTCAACCTGCTCCTCCTCAGACGGAGCAGCGGCCTTCTTGCCCTTCTTGGGCTTCGAGGCCTCGGCAGACAGACGAGGCAGGAACCTGCCAACACGAGCCTGGTACTCCACATACTCAGGATACTTGCCCGCACTGATGTCCTCAGTCAGACGGGTGCTACCCTGAAATATCATCATATATCCCACAACGCCGAGTCCGGCCCACTGGAAGTAGGTCTCGGTACGGTAGCAGGCCCAGAGGTACAAGGTAAGCCAGACAGCCTGCTCGGCAACGAAGTTGGGGTGGCGCGACCAAGACCAGAGTCCGCTAACAACAAAGCCACGCTCCAGATCCTCAGGAGAGTACTGGTCCTTGTTTTCTCCCGCGATGCGTGCGTTCTTCTGGTACTCCTGCTTGGCAGTCTGGAAGTTCCACTGCTGGTGGTCCGCAAAGTATTCGATGATGATGAAGAAGAACGCCGCGCGGGAGAACGCGAGATCTGGTAGGCCAAAGGTTTCGGTACCCTGGCTATTTGCGACAACAACAAATACGTAGGTGGGGCAGGTGATCAAGAGTAGCAGGATCGACTGGGCGACAGCGATGAACGAGAAGTTGAAGATGGTGAACAAGAAAACATTGTTCACTTTGCTGCGCACAATCTGCCAGCGGTAGTCCTCAGATCCGATCTGGTAGCCACCTTTGCGCCAGTAGTTGAAGGTCAAACGAGCCTATTCAAAAACAATCCCAGTTAGCTTGTGATCGGTGGCGCATCAAGTAAAAACATGGGCACATACACTCCATAACACAGTGATAACGGCAATGGTATCCAAGGTCTGGGTACGGATGCCGGCCAGGCGAGCCCAAGCGGCAAAGTGCACGTTGTACACCGCTGGCAAGATACTCCAGAAGCGGTCCACTTGCGAATAGTTACGGTTGACCTCGGCAGCCAGGAAGAAAAGCGCAGCCAAGACCGATCCTATCGCAATGGCGGAGACCAGGGGGTTTGTCGCAATGTAAACATCCTTCAAGCTACCCAGATCGCAGCCAGCTTCGTGCAAGCTAGCGGGGAGATACTGCAGCTGAGATAGGTAGGGAAGAACAGTGAGTTTGAAGGAGGTGGACTCCACCAGGGACTCAACACGTGGAAGTGGGAGAGAAGCCATCTCCAGATATCAGATAGATAGACTCGGACTGTCAAATGAAGAAGATACGAGTAAAGAGGAGTGGCCCGGGGCGTTGCTAGGCGGGTTGTTTGGGTTACCTCATCGGGATTAGCCTCTTGGCACTACTATGCCCATATATTAAGGCAGTAAGGCACTAACGTAATTCACCACCGAGTGGGCCACACCACCGAGTGGGCCACCCAACCGCTATTTCTGCACATTTATATTTATATATCAACTACAACGCCTTTATATTCCCTATTCTCTAGTTGGACAAGCATTCTTTTTATGCCATATTTTACTGCATTTACCACATTTAGGTAGGGCCCGCGTCTTTGGTGTTTGCGTTCTCTGCGCTGGTGGCACTCTTAGACCTGGTATTGCCTGAAAGAACGTATCATAAGCTTCCTTAAGCTCCAGTGCTTCTTGTACGGATAGACTATTATTGTGAGATATCTATCTATTCGTACGAGTACGCTTTTTCCTCTGCTTTAGGTTTTCCGTATATAGTCTCGTATTTTCTGCGTCGAGAAAGATACTCTTTTATATTGCGATTTGACAGCCTTTGATAAGCTGGTTTAGCGCAGTCTGTGAAGGTGATGGAGGGCTTCATGAGTATTGTCTTAAGAAAGCCTTGATTAAGGATACTTACTTATAAAGCTTATCGACGTTTGTAGGTGTATATGGGTAAAATATACTTACTTAACTACTACTGCTTCTAGGAGGCGTAGGCGTACAGAGTTGAATATTGAGTTGTAATAGTACTGGTTTAGGATTAAAAGGTGCTAATCTAGCTGCTTAGAAGCTATTTTGAATAGTGTCTGATTTAAATGTATTGATATAAGCTTGTGGATAAGCTGTAAGGAAATCAAATTTGTCGATATAACTAACGCTAAGCCGTATTTTTTGGTCAACTAAGCTACTATATATGTGCTTTAGAACAGCGAAATACCTAATATCAAGAGGTTATAAAAGATACGAAGAATATACAGGTATACAGATTAGTATAATGTTGTAATCTGTATAAGTTTGGTTGAATTTTGGTGTAAGATAGCTTCTATGTCCATTAAGGACTAATAATCGATATTATCTAGGTATACGGCTATTTGTTGATATAATAAACTGCTTTTAAAGCTAACTAAGACCTATCTTATTAATTATCTACCTATTCGTGCTAACCTCAAAATACTAGTCGTAAGGGAGCTCTTAAAACCACGCTTAGTTATATTACTTACCCTTAAAGATCAGTGTTAGTAGAAGAGCCTATCCTAAAGCACTAATTAACTTAATTACAGTTACCTACTTACGGTTTCCTAGCTGTAAAACTGATCTCTGTCTATAGTATTCTAATCAGATAATTACTCTATAAGTTGCGCAAAGGCCTATCGTAAAGCCAGTCTTATTAAAGTTATAGATATCGTTTGTAAGAATACCGTATTGCTGAATTATAGTTTGAACGAGGTTAAACTATTCTTTGATAATCTTTGGATCCTCTTGAAGTGCCCTTTGGTAGTTATATCGTCGTAAAAAGCGAGATTTAAGCTCTGGATAGCGTTTAATAATTTTGTAACCTAATTCAAGCCTGTTGGCTTAAAATCCTTTATACCACGCTTTCGGATTAACAGATCGGCCATTTCTCGTACTATTGCGTGTCTAGGTGCTCCACTACGAGTATTAATAGATATTATCCACTGAATAAGTAGGTCCTCCTCAATTTGGGATAATTTATGGCCATTTGCGCGAGTGTCAGCGCGATTTGTAGTCCTACGTAGTCGACGCGTGAGCGTATTCCGGGAACTTAAAACTGATCTGCAGCTTGCCGAATAGAGCTAATTTCTTTGGATTTTATAGCCTGAATAGCAAGCAAGAGACGGCCTTCTTGTTGGATAGAGTCTTGGCTTGATCCGACGCGAATTGGAGGCATGGTGGTGGATAGAAGATAGATGAACGCGGTTGAACGCGAAAAATTGGTTGTGTGGCCCACTCGGTGGTGAATTACGTTACTACGGGTACACCATCCTATGGACTCATAAATTCACAATCGTGTTCGTCGATGATACCTATCTAATATTCAAGGTGCTACCATCACGCAATCTGATCCGGCTCAGGTCGTCGCATAATCGGAATGAGTGGTTTGGGAGGCCATTGGCTAGAGTAGTCCTCCCACTCAAAAGGCACAGAAAACTGGTGACGGCCTGAGCCCACCCAATCCCCTTCTTCAGGGCCAGCCTTGAACTTCGCCAAGATTTCTCGGCTCGGAAGTAAAACCAGTGCGCGGCTATTCGCAGGAACTAAGAGATCCAGGTTGAAGAGCCCTGCTTCTTTCTCAATCGACCATCTGCACTCCAACCTTCCGTACCTGGTCTCATAAACCGCCTCAGCCGAGTCTATTGTGCCTCCAGGAGTCGGTGCCACTTTGATCTTTTTCCAACCGGCTGACAAAGGACTCACACCGGCAACATTGGAATGGAGCCAGTTGATGATAGATCCAAGGGCATAGTGGTTGAAGCTAGTCATCTCTCCTGGGTTGATAGATCCGTCCGGCAACATGCTATCCCACCTCTCCCACATGGTTGTCGCACCCATGGTAATTGGGTACATCCACGACGGGCGGCTTTTCTCAAGCAACATTCGGTAAGCAATCTGAGGGTTCCCACTCTTGGTAAGAGCATGTGCAATGACGGGGGTGCCGGCGAAGCCGGTCGATACGCGGAACTTTCCTAATCGCACAAGATGAACCAAGCGGGATGCCGCAGCCATAGCCTCTTCAGTTGTGGCGTGAAGGTCGTACATTAGGGCAAGGCTAAGAGCCGTCTGGGTGTCACCGACTAGCAATCCGGAAGACGCAATATACTTTGCCTGGAACATAGTTTTCAGTTTCGCATGGTCGGTTTTAAAGCGTGCGGTATCTTGACCATGTCCCAAGATCTCGCTGATTTGAGACATCACAGATGTCACATGTACAAGATATGCGTCTGCAACGAGGGTTCCATTTGTGCGTGCATCACCTGGTTCGATGGGCGGTGCTGTGGGGTCCAGCCAGTCACCCAGCTGCCATAGATTGGGGTCCCACAATCCATCGGAGCCACGTCGAATACCGCGGTCGATCCACGCGATCATGCTTTGATATTGCCGACTGAGAATGTCGATATCGCTATAAGATCGGTAGAGATCCCAGGGAGTCAGAATCACCACATCATCCCATACGGCTTGAGGCGTATGCGGCCACAATTCTTGACTGATAACGTTGGGGACCACAAATGGAGGCACACAGCCGTCGTTCTCATTGAGTTGCTCCGCCGCTACATCTTCAAGCCAGCCGCCAAGCATTCCAGCAGTGTCATACAAGAAGCTTGCCGATGAGCAAAAAATCTGAATGTCTCCAGTCCAGCCCAGTCTTTCGTCTCTTTGAGGGCAATCCGTAGGTATGGACAGGAAATTACCGCGCATACTCCACAAGGCATTCGCATGTAGCTTATTGACCATAGGATGAGAGCAAGAAAACCAACCAGTGCGAGTCATATCGGTATGCATCACGAGCGCTGAGAGATTGTCCTGTAGCAATCCATTTTGCTCCTCGTCCCAACCATCAACCTGTACGTACCGGAACCCGTGGAATGTATATTGTGGCGACCAGTTGAGAATTTCACTACCATCGCAGATAATCTCGTCCGTACACTTAGCGTGTCGGAGTGGTCGAGTTCCAATCTCACCATTCTCTAGCACTTCAGTGTGCGTGAAAGACACCAGGGAACCAGCGGGTAGTTTCAGAGAGCACACACGAAGTCGGCCTACCATGTTTTGACCAAAATCAATGACTGTATTCCCTAGCGGTGTTTTCCGGACTGCAACAGGGGTGATTTCCTCAGTTATACGGACAGGAGGAGCGTCTGGGGCCACCAGTGCTGCTTTTGGAAAATCTAGCTTCTGAACTTGGACCCAGTTAGATGCCCGAGCCGACCCAGTATCGAGCTCAGCAGTGTTCCAGGATGGATTCTCCTCGCGAGTATCGTAAGTCTCGCCGTCGTAGAGCTCACTTCGAAGAATTGCACTTGGTGTGCAAGTCCATGTGCTGTCCGTGCCGAGTGAAAACGGATCTTTGACAGATCCCTGATGGATTTCAAGCTGGGCCAGAACAGCCAGCCGATCTCCGTAAAGCTGTCTTCTCCCACCACGGAACCCTAGACGGGTTGCATACCATCCCTCGGCAACCTCCACCGCTAGGGCATTGGGGCCGTTGGGATTCAGGAGTGATGTCACGTCGAAGGTTTGGTAGTTCAAGCGATGACGGTAGCTCGTCCACCCTGGAGAAAGGCATTGGTCGCCCACAAGTCTTCCATTGATGAAGGTGCGGTAGACACCAAAGCTTGTGATGAAGAGGCGGGCTTTCTCAATAGAACCTAATGCAGGGATTTGAAATTCTTTTCGAAACCTTACCGGCCGCAAAGGGCTATCTGGTTGAGAGGCTCCAGGGGCTGCGATTGGATTAAATTTCCAGTCGTTGCGGTCAAGCAATCCACATTCAATAATCCTCCAGGGGGACCACTCAGAGGTTTCGGCTTGCTCGTAGTCAGAGCTGCCGCCATAGACCCGGACTCGGACTCGGGCGACTTCTCTAGACCTTAGCGGGGCACTAGGCCATGGAACTAGCACCGAGGTATTGCTCTTCACGAGGAAGGTCTCTTCCTGTGATTCACAGTCCGAACGAACGACTTGCAACTCGTATGCTGTCTGTTCCCAGTTGAGTGGTGAATCGTCAGTAGCGGTGATAAATCGCCAAGACAGACGCGGAGTTGCTGCCCCAATGCCAAAACCTGTGGCATGTTGTTCGACTGTGGGTATTTCAATGAGTGGCATCGTGGATGGAAATTGATGCTGATAATGATGAAATGTTCATTCAGTCACCGGCTGACTCTCCGGCCATATTTAACATGGACGAAAGAGCGCCCACTCGGGGTGCGTTTCCACGAAGCCCCGAGTCATGGGTGGAGTGACACACAGTTGGATCCAATGCAGGTGGGATGATTCGAAGACGCTGGGGTATTCGTCGAGGCCGGGGACGGTTGAAGAAGCGGAGTAGGGCGGCGTTCGGCGGTGTTCTTGGACTCTGATTCGCCGGCGGCCGCTATCCACAAACTTAGCTGCTGTGAAATGCGGAGGAAAATTATGCGAGGTGAATGAGATCGTGGATCTTCCTTTCAATAATCTGGGGAGCTTGTCCAAGATCATGTCTCAACCGTGGTGCAGCTCGGGGTTTCATGACCGATCCCCAGAAATGCATATCTGGGCAAAGCCGACACTTTAAAACCACGGAAGTATTTAAAGAATCACATTTCCGCAAGGAAGACGAAGCATTAATCATACTATTCAGCAACTCGGAATGGCCAACTTCTTCGTGATTTTGATATCTCTTGTTGTGGCACTTGGCGGGTTTGTATACGGTGTGGATTCAGGTTCGGGTAACCTTTCCTGGCGCAGGCAGGTGGATGGAAGCTGACAAAAATGCTTCTAGGAATCATTGCAACCACTCTTGGTCATGACACATTCAAATATGCCATGCTAGGCCCAACCGGGGCTAACGCCTCCTTGACAGGTTAGTTACAATGCCAGATTATCTTCTGCTATTTAAATCCAGAGCCCCAGAATCTAACTAGATTGCATCAAAGGTGCTATTGTGTCTTTGTATAATGTCGGACAGGCCGTCGGAACATTTGCGGCAGGATATTTGGCCAACAAATTAAGTCGACGTTGGACAATTTGCATCAGTGCTGTGATCGGTATGCCTACAGAAGCTTACAGGACGTGTCGAGCTGTCATCCAAGAGTGATCTAACACATATGCCAGCCATCATTGGCGGTATTCTGCAGACTGCCGCTATCAATGCCGACATGATGATTGCTGGTCGATTCTTTGCAGGAGTCGGTTGTGGCATTATGCTTACCATCGTGCCTGTCTATATCGCCGAGGTCTCACCTCCCGATCAACGCGGCACGATCGTTGGTCTCCAGGGATTTATGATCGCCATTGGCTTTTTTGCAGCGAATTGGATCGGTTATGGGGGTGCCTATGCAACGGGGGATGCTCAATGGAGAATACCCCTGGCCATGCAAATCCCCGGGCCACTGGCGTTGGCGATCGGGTGTTGCTTTATCCCATATAGCCCCAGATGGTGTAAGTACTGCATCCGCCTATTCCTTTATCACATATTGCATTTATACCAGTTGCTGAACCCCCTGAAAGTAATTCAAAAGGAGCGATATCAAGAAGCACAAGCGGTTCTAGCCCTCATCCATGGTAGCTGTGACGATGATATTGTGGAGCAGGATCTAGCTCAGATCCGAGCTCAGATTCACGCAGATTCCAGTCAAGTCACCTCTTTCAAGCTCGCGGTGACAAAACTGCTCTCCCGTCAATACCTACATCGCACCTTCATGGCCTGTTTCATTCTCGTAATGGGACAGTTCAGCGGATCCTCCGTCATTCAAAACTACCAGAGTAGCTTCTATGCAGCTGTTGGATTTACCGGAAAGACCTCTCTTCTGATCAGTGGCATCTATGGAATAATGGGCGTCCTGGGTCAGGTAATTTATCTCTTTATTGCAGCAGACAGGTGGCCGCGAACTCGAACATTATGGGTTGGATCGATTTTCCTCTCTGTTATGATTGCAATTTGCATGGCTCTATCTGCTTTCTATGGGAGTGCAAGCACCGAAAACATGAGTGGTGCTCGTGCAGCAATTGCCATGATCTTCTTATACTCTTGCGGCTATGCAGTCTTTTTCAACGGGACTATTTGGGTGGTTCCCTCGGAACTGTTTCCTTTCTTCCTTCGATCGACAGGCATGGGTCTAGCAGTGTTCTGCAAAGCTGTATCGGCAATTGTCTTATCTCAAATTACCCCAACCGCATTGGAAAATGTTGGCTGGCGATACTATTCTCTATTTATTGCCACTAATCTCGTGGCCGCGTTTGTCTATTTTTTTCTTACTTCCGGAAACAGGAGGAAAGACTTTGGAGGAAATTGCGGAACTATTTGGGGACACGCTGGCTCCCGACTCATCAAAAGACATGAAGGCTGAGGACGGTATACCTCCTAAGGGGAAAATCGCTCAAGAGTCGCAAACTTGCGGGGCGTTTCATGTGGAAAAGATTGTCTAGTTGCAGTAGCTGAATCACTCAATCGTGTTACTATCATTTCGGAAGTCCTTATCTAGTCTGTCAATTTTGCTTGACAGTGGCAAAGATCATTAGTAAATACCTTGAACTCCTTCCGCTTGATCGTTTAGAAGCCAACTCAGAGCACTATCCACAATTGCTTGACCACTCATCCCTTGGTCACCTATCAACCTTGATAGATCATTATAATCTGCAGTGTCAATCTCAGACTCCTCCGTCCCAGCAGCCTCAAGTCTATCGGTATCTTCAACCTGAGAGACGGGGTTATCCGCAGTAGTAGCTCCGTCCACTTGGCTGATTGAATCTGTTGCTGCTATACCCGTATCCGTAGAAGGGCAGTTGGTATCGTTCATGAGTCTCTGTGAAAGGGCCGAAGTATGCTCAGTGAGGAACCGTGCCATCCAGCTATCCAGTGCAAATGGGTTCAGCAATGAGTCTTTACAGGAGTTCTGAAATATTCGCAAGTGGGCGACCTGAAGTATCACGGAATTAGCAATGCTTAATGGCGGACTCAGGATGATACAAACATGATGATCGACAACACGCCAAAATAATTTCAGGCTCATTAGATATTGAAAATTGGATACCAGCCCGTCTCGTGCCAAACTGCGCTCCGGCTGATCATCACTGAAAAGTAGAGTATGGAGCTGAACACTGGAGCTGATGACTGCAATATGCCCGTAAATGAAGTAGATCATCTTACACCCTGGTGTGGTCTCTGAGTATCGTAAAATATTGGAAACGATGGTAGCGCTCTCTTTGCATTTTGCTGCTCTACTGCAAGTAGCCGACTGTGTGAGTCGAGAGTCCAAAAAGGGGAAGAAAAGCATCTGGCGAAAGTGATAATAGCCAATATGCATGGATAAAAAGATTTGACCCAATTTTTTCCCGATCATATGCATAAAATTGGCATAATTGTAGACAAGGGTGGAGGGCAAGCCCTCCGCCCACCGATCAAGATCGTGTTCAAGAATTGCGGCTTCTTCACAGTATTGATGAAATGGAATCAACTCTTGACTGAGGCGACGTAGCAAAGTATTTATCTTGGTGAATATGTTCAAAGTATGGGCCATCTGAGCCCACATGCCATATTTAGGGGAGGTGATACTGGTCCCTCGAAGAGATCTGGGCCCAGTGTATGAAATTCTGCATCGTCAATTTTTGGTTGGTAAATCGGCTCCTCGAAGAAAGAGGTCGGTTCCATAGCCATATCTGAAGCAGACCAATGACTAGCAATCTGAATAGAAAGCCATGTTCGGCGATGTTCCTCGCGAAGTACCGGGGTTGTGAAACTCTCGTGAGGTACAAGATGCGCATGCAGACGGGCTAACCCAATATAGATGTACTTCCCATGGGTATTTCCTTCTCCGCCGAAGTAATACCCGACCAAGAGGAAGGCTTGCACGGTCTCCAGGTCCGGAGATACCATGTTCTCGTGGCAATAATTGATCGCCTTGGTTGCGTACAGCTTTCCGCGGGCACACGGGGGAATATTGCGAAATATCGGGTTATCAGAATAGCTAGGAATTGATAGTTAGTTCATTTAATAAATGTAAATGTGCGAAATAGAATAGAGGGGGGTTCACCGAGCAGCTAATGCACACATCGTGTATATATGAACCCAAGGCGCATTTCCATGATTCAGCCGACGCATGAAGCTCGGCTCATGGAAGACGGAATGCGCAATATTATGTATATAGTTAAAGTAAAGAGAAACAAGCTCGGTAAATAGCTCGGGTGAGTCTAGAGCAGCACTGTTTTGCTCTTCATTATTCGTTGTACTCGGCGGGAAATTCACCGTCCCACTCGCCCGCACAACATTGCGGGTGAGGCTGCAAGATTTAGACAAAGATTGACAAAGTTGACAACCTTCTGATGGGGGAGCAGGAACACATCGTCTTTTCCGGGTACTGTCATGATATGCCTATCTCAGAACATGACTTATTAACAGCTAGGTAGAACTCACCGGCAGGTTGCACATGCCCCGGCTCTCGCTCTTTTTATTCCATCGCCTACCATATTACCAAGGTACACTGGTTAGTCTCTTGGTTTTCGTGAAGGTAACATATCATTATTGAAGTTGGGCGGTGATGAGGGAAAGCCGACTTTATATAGTAGTTTCTCTATGTATGTAATCAGCATACAGTATCTCCTGCGCATGGTATGTGTAAATGCATGCACGTGTAGCGTACAGTATGGTAAGGTAATGTAAGGGGGACGCGACTGATCAGGCGCGTTGTGGCCTGAGGCAAGAAGGCGCCCCACTGAAGTATTTCCCGGTTGGGACGAGAGCCTTTGCAATTGTGTCCCTCTCTTCACATGGTATCTGATCGTGTCCACTGGACTCGCCATGGCTCGGAAGATTCTCTGCGTGGCAGAGAAACCCGCCATTGCCCGTGCCGTGGCCACGCACATGTCGGGTGGCTCTTTTCAGACGGTAAGTAGCTCAAATATCGCGATGAGCAAGCGACTGATGAAGGGATGTAGCATGCAATCCGTGGAAACCAATACGTGAAAAATTATGAGTTTGAGTTCAACTTTGGGGCCCCTTGGGGGAATTGTTCCGTGACAATGACTAGCGTGATTGGCCATCTCACTGGCCTGGACTTTGAACGTCAATACAAGGGCTGGCTATCCTGTCCCCCCGGCTCTCTGTTTGAGGCTCCCGTGAAGGAAGAGGTTGACAAGGTGCGTCTGCTCTCTATCCAATCTATCTTAATCTGCTAATTATTTCCGAAGGACAAGTTGCCAATCGCAGAAAACATTCGAAATCAAGCGAGATATAGCAAAGCTTTGTTTATCTGGACCGATTGTGATCGCGAGGGAGAGCATATCGGCTCAGAGGTTCGTAATCAGGCAAAGACTGGCAATTCTCGAATTGAAGTGAGACGAGCTAGATTCAGCAACACGGAAAGAGCGTAAGTCAATTCAATGACAACAGGAAAAGAACCTGCCCGGCTGACCAATATATCCTGCAATTCAGACATGTTCTTCAAGCTGCGCGAGAACCGGTAGAGCTGGACGAGTTCCAAGCCAATGCTGTGGCTGCTAGAATCGAGCTTGATCTTCGCATTGGAGCTGCTTTCACGCGCTTGCAGACCCTTCAGCTTCAGGCTGTCGCGGAAATTTTGAAGGAGAAAGTCATCAGCTATGGTAACATTCTTTGTTCTCAAATTCCACGGTGTCTCGAGTCTAATTATTTCTAGGGTCATGTCAATTTCCTACTCTGGGGTTCGTGGTAGACCGCTATCTACGAGTGCAAAACTTCAAACCGGAAACTTTCTGGGGAATCAAGGTCATGCTCCAACGCGAAGGGAAAAAGGTCAATTTTCTTTGGAAGCGAGTTCACCTCTTTGACCGCGCAGCCGTGATCATGATGCTGGAGCGTTGTCTCTTGGCAAAGAAGGCAAAGGTCACAAGAGTGAATCAAAAGCCCAAAAGCAAATGGCGGCCGTTGCCGTTGACAACTGTCGACCTCCAGATGATGGGCAGTCGCTTTCTCCGGTTGGACAGTCAAACAATTATGAAGGTAAGTAGTACCGCATCCGCTTTAATGGGTCTCAAGATTATTGACTATTCAATAGGTCGCGGAGGCTCTGTACACCAAAGGTTTCATCAGCTATCCACGTACCGAAACCGATCAGTTTGACAAAGCAATCGATCTCAAGAAGCTTGTGGAAAAGCAATATCCAGATAATAGATGGGGACAGTATGCCAGAGAGTAAGTATCTCCACATGAGTCGCTCAGTGGATATCTCAATATTGACTTCCGTGCAGACTCATCGATGGTAAATTCAGGACTCCCCGATCTGGATCTCATAATGACAAGGCACATCCACCGATTCATCCAGTGAGCTGGGTCAACCCTTCTCAGTTGAACGAGAATGAAAAGAAGGTTTATGAATTTGTGACCCGCCGATTCCTCGCTTGCTGCTCCGACGATGCGAAAGGCAAAGGAACGGAAATCGAAATATTATACGGAGAGGAGATGTTCCATGCCAATGGCTTGATTGTTTTGGAGAAGAACTACCTTGATGTCTATGTTTATGACAAATGGGAAAGCAGCCAGCAGCTCCCTAATTTTGAGAAAGACGAGATGTTTGAGCCCACAGAAGCCAATATCTCCGAGGGCAAAACCACGGCCCCAGGCTATTTGACTGAACCTGAGCTGATTGGTCTCATGGATGCTAATGGTATTGGAACTGACGCGACAATGGCCGAGCACATTGCAAAGATCAAAGAAAGGGAATATGTGGTTGTGAACAAGCGCGGCAGTGGCCGCAGCAAGATCGAAGAGCTCATTCCCACCCGCTTGGGTATTGCGCTCGTAGAGGGGTATGATAATGTTGTGGCGGGCCTCCCGAACAGCATATCGCTGAGCAAGCCATTCCTGCGAAAGGAGATGGAGCTGAGAATGCTTGAAATATGTGCTGGCTCTAAAACTCGACAGGAAGTGGTACAGCAGAGTCTGGATATGTACCGCGAGGTGTTCATTCATACACAACGACGAATTGCGATGTTGAAAACCGCTTGTCGAAAATATCTCGTCGAGCAAGCTTGACCATGACAATTTGGGTGTTTTTTTTCGCTGTGTTAACCCACATCAACCGCCTGTACTTCTACGATGAATGAATAATGAATTAAACTTCTTTAATTTGGTCGCTATATGATATCGTTCCCATGCTCTCGTGAATCAGCCCAGTAATCAAAATTCGACCCCCCCTTCCCCGTCAATGTGGTCGATTCCAAGTCTGTAACTTCTACGGAGCGCATATCAGTTTTCTCCAGCACTGACATCATCGGTCTCAGAGGTCTCAAGCGAAGCCTTCAGTGTCCTCCCAATGTCCGAGAAGGCCTGGGAAGTTTCTCTGGGAAGTTCCCTAAGCCGCTCGTGAAAATTCTCTCAGCGTGCCATAGCCTCATCTATTCGATCTTGGTTGGTGAGATCCTCCAAATCTTGTACACCACCGTCGAACTTTGCAAACTTCGCATGCAGCCTCTGGATCGATTCTTCGACCTTTGCAAACTTCTGATCCAACTGGCGCAGCATATGATTACCTATCACAGGTAAAGTACCTGCGTATAGGTACAAGAGCTCCTCTATGTATTCGCGCTGGTCATAGTGGCTCTTAAGCTCGTTGGCGCAGTCTTCACTGCGGTACAAGATGAGCTTCACCAGTATACCGAAATTCGTAATCATCAAAACAAGCATGACTTTCTCTCAGGGACTGTTCTTGCCCTTTCCTTGGCCCATTCGATGTCAATGGGACTGACAGAGGCTTAGGGGGTTTGATTTTCGGGCGCAATAAAGCTATGATCGATGGGGGTTGGCGTATCAAATATCCCCGGAACTCTGTGCGTATGGACTGGATGCAGTGGGCTTTGTATGCCCAGAGCTTCGGATGAAACGTTGGCTGGCAGAAGATCGCCCAGGGCATACGCCGAACCGGCTAATTGAAGGCTGCTCAGTGTGCGCTGGGCGAGGGAGCTAGGAGGTCGAATGCCGGTGAATGGTATCTCTCTGTGGAAGTACCCCCAAAGACTTGAGCCCAGGAAAACTATAGTTGGGAATATGACTTTCATGTTAATGGTTGTGATGGGGGTTTTGAGATGGCAAAAAGTCGCTTGTTTTCTAAATGGTTCAAAGTCGGCTTTGGGCGATTTTCTTATAGTGTTCTAAAGCCCAGCAGTTGCAATTTGCCCTTTCAACTATTGTAGCTCAAAACTTGTCTTCAAGTAAGCTGCGATAAGAGGGATGCCAATCAATGAAAGCAGTGTATCTTCATTGACTAGAGCTCTAATATATGCCGCTGGCCAGGGTTACTATCTTCTTTGACATGGTTATTCTGCAGAGACACGGCAATAGTCGTGCATGCTACTACACGTCATTGGATCAAACTTATCATGAAAGAGTGCCCAGGTGGGATTGGATTAGCCATTGTAGAATTATATTGACTCCTATGTCAATGAACGACGCCGTTTGCCATGTGTTACCTAGATACGTTATCTTCTAGATACTAGGCTCTCTCGCCTCCTCTCTCCCCACTACTATACACTACTACTATTAGTACTATACCACTTTTCTTATCTCATCTCTTCCAGTATCCCACGCACCCTAACACATTTTTGTTGGGCACCATGCAACCCCAGAAGGCACATAGACGTTAAATATCTTAAGAGTATGCTGATTGCTGGTAGCCCTTTTCCGTGAACACCAAAAAGTTCCCAAGGATCTCGAAGAGAAGGGTGACTCCCAGAGCACGAAGTACTAGGGTGGGAATTAAACATGCTGCGGGGGCGGGCTTGGCACCGGAAGGCGTTATTCGGCGGTGGTTCCGGACGCCATTGGACTTCTTTCCGGCACTCCATTCCAAAAAGCCTGCTTGAGAAGTTGAATGGCCCCAGCCCGCTCCGTCAGTGGCGCTGATCCTCACACCACAATCCTGGGGCAAAACGAACGAAACATGAAAGAATCTGACTTCAAACTCAGAGCGTAAAAAGACACAGAAACACTTAGGCCCCCATCAAATCGGCCTCTTCGTCGAATGGAAATGGCTGCTTTAAAGGACTGTGACGTAATCGACAAAGTCGGCCTGCTTGATAGGCTCAACCGGTGGTGATCATTTCCTGGTTTCTTACCGACGATGCTTCGTGTTGCTTGCAATTGCTTACTCCTGAGCGATTTCACTTGGCTTAGGCCAGTACTATTTCGCGTGGTCGTTAGGCCTACCATACAACCGGCCATCGATTTGCGTGATGATCCACACATTGCGGAGTTCCATCTGGCGACCCACCCCCATACTATGTATCTCCGCATGGCCCGATGGGCCAGCGAGAGGGCCGTGCTTTCCATGTTTCTATGACCTCTCGGACAATAACTTACGCGGCGATTGACCAGGATTTGACAGGGAAGATGCGCCTGAGAGGGTCATACCAGGCGCGGTAACATGGATCTGGTAGGCTAGTTTTCCATTTACGGCCCATACCAAAACGAAGACACGAAGAAGAAAGAATTGGCAAGACTTGGTTCGGACTTTCTGGTGCCAGCGACATCCATACATAGCGCAATATTCTATCTCAGGAATGAAACCCAGTTGGGGCGGCACAATGCATAAAAGGCTGATATCCCCAGATTCCTATTTTGCCCCCATTCTCCTCATGAAAGCGTGAAGGATTTCCCCGCATTGTTGTCTCTAAACGGCTCTTCTCTACCACTGAGGCAAATCTCTCACATAACCTGCTGTCTTGTGGCACCTACATAACCCGACATGGCGAAGGAGAAGGTCGAGGACCCGGTTCTGGAGTCCAATTCCAAGGATGACAACCCACCATCCTTCACTCATAAAGAGAAGACGGACTATGGAGAGTCTGATTTGGAAGATCGTGGGCGTGGCCACATAAATGCTGTCTTCGAGAACCCCCTCGCCGGCATTCCACGCGAGCAGCTCTTCAAACAGGTTGAAGAATTTTGTCAACAATGGGGCCTCATGTCAGATTTGGAAACTTTCAAGAAAGGTGCACTTGTCTCACAGGCTCCGGAGTCCGCGACGACGCTGCCGGAACTGAATGATTCAGAAAGAGAAGCCCTGGAGCGTGAGCATACGCACAAGTGGAGCCAGCCATGGCAGCTCTACTTCCTAGCAAGTGAGTTGGCCGCGATATTCAATGAGGCTACTTACAGCATGTCCCTCTCAGCAGTGTAAGATGCTAATAATATTATTTGCTGACAGTTATGTGCTCTCTCGCGGCTGCTGTACAAGGTATGGATGAGACGGTCAATAATGGAGCCCAAGCTATCTACTTGAAGGTAACTTGCATCGCACTCTAATTGATGGCTGGATCAAATGGCTGACTGATTGGTGATATAGCGACTTGGTATTGAGAATAGTGACAATCTTACCGGACTCGTTGTTGGCGCACCTTACTTGGCTTGCGCTATTCTTGGCTGTTGGCTAACCGAGCCACTCAATCGTTACTTCGCTCGTCGGGGTACGATATTTATTTCCTGCTTTATTGCGGCCGTAGCCTCAATCTGGGAAGGTTTCTGCAATTCATGGGTGAATCTTTTTCTGGCTCGGTTTGTTCTTGGGCTAGGCATTGGATCAAAGTCTTCGACCGTCCCTGTCTATGCTGCCGAGTGCTCTCCGGCTCCAATTAGAGGTGCTCTAGTGATGATGTGGCAGATGTGGACGGCATTTGGTATAATGCTTGGAAATATCATGGGTGTGGCCTTTATGAATGTCGGGAATGACCTGAACTGGCGCCTAATGCTTGGTTCGACAGTGGTGCTTCCATTAATTGTTTGCAGTCAAGTCTATATCTGCCCTGAGTCCCCAAGGTGGCTGATCCAGCATGACAAGATACCCAAGGCTTATGAAAACTTCAAGATCTTACGTCCTACTGAAATCCAAGCTGCCCGAGATCTCTATTACGCCTACGTGGGGGTACAGCTGGAGCGGAAAATTAATCGGGGCAAAAACTTTTTCACTATGTTCATTGAGCTTTTCACCGTCCCAAGAAATCGCCGTGCCACTCTGGCAACCTGGATTGTGATGTTCATGCAGCAATTCTGTGGCGTTAATGTCATCGCCTACTACTCGACCACCATCTTTCAGGACTCCGGGTATGGATTGTCGAATGCGCTTCTGGCCTCCATGGGTACCGGTATTCTCAATTGGGTATTCGCACTCCCGGCTGTTTTTACCATTGATACATGGGGACGTCGCAACCTCCTTTTGTTTACATTCCCGTTCTTAGCTCTTTTCCTCTTCTGGTCCGGCTTCTCCTTCTGGATCGAGGCAGATAATCCAGAAAGCAAGAAGCGAGTGGCGATGGTCACTACTGGCATGTACTTGTTTGAAATCTTCTATTCTCCTGGTGAAGGGCCCGTTCCCTTTACTTACTCCGCCGAAGCATTCCCTCTACATGTTCGCGAGGTTGGCATGTCATGGGCAACGGCTACGACCTGGTGCTTCAACTTTATTCTTTCCTTTACTTGGCCTCATCTCCTGACAGCATTCAAGCCCCAAGGGGCTTTTGGCTGGTATGCAGCTTGGTGTCTTATTGGCTGGGTTCTAGTCTTACTTTTCGTTCCAGAGACCAAGGGTGAGTGCTTCTTCGTATTATTCTTGTATTTTCAAACCGAGTGATCTCTGCTAATCAATTTTCTGTATAGCTCTCACACTAGAGGAACTGGACCAAGTGTTTTCTGTCCCGACTAGAAAGCATGCTTCATACCAACTGAAAAATGCTTGGTGGCATTTCAGGGTCTGGGTTCTTCGTCGGAAGCTGGAACCGCTCCCAAAGTTCTACCAGGGTGCCCAACACCTTGCAGAAGCTGGCAATACTGCCTCTTAAGTAAATCAGAATTATTTTACTACGCGGCTGTAATATCACTATTACTGTTTCTGCAATTTTCTTGTGCTTATAATTATTGTTGACCGTTTTGCGCGTTTAAATGTTTGCCAATTTGTTGTGGAAAGTTTTCATTATCTAGGAAGAGGTACGCCGAAAAGATTGACAAACCGAACAAGTCGACACTCTCCACAGCGGTTTTCTATATCCTAGCAGCATTTCAATTTGAGAATAGTATCGCTTGGATATATAATACAGTATGCAGTATGTTCATCATTTGTTGGGCGTACTGTGGGCGCCGTGATCTGCAAGATCGGGGGTGTCCCTTAATTTATCCAATCTCTTGCTCAGAATAGCACCGTAGTAGACGGTTGCGATAAAGCTAACCATGTTGACCAGGCTGGACATTCCATGGATACGTCCGAATCTCTTGTTAAGGGTCACCATCTCCTTAGAATGGGGAGCAGGGTCGTAGCTCCGTTTGCCATCGCGGGTTTCTGCATGGGTTAGCTGACCATTACCATGCAACACATTGCCCAATGCTCCCAATCTTTAACTAGACACTTACCTTGGTGCTTGCGCTCCCGCATGATCTTGGTTGTTAGAGGGCGCAACACGAACATGTTGATCAAGCCGGTGAGGGCAACAGTGGCCATCGGCAAGAACGTGTTCAACCGGTTTTCAGGGGCCAAAAGCCCAGAAACACCGAGCGCTTGGCCACCCCGGCTGGCTGTCAGGGCCACGACGACTGGAAGCGCGGTCTGCATGGAGAAATAGACGGGGAAGATGGCGGTCTGCAGGCTTGCAAACTGTGGCCGCGGCAAGGCGCGGAAGGCCACGATCCCGCCTACGAAGGACTAATGAAGAGTTAGAAATGCTTTTTGGTCATATTCATGGCAAATGCTTAGATAAAAATGGCGCGTCAGACATACCTGGAAGAACTGGGTGCCCAGCAGGGTACCATAGCTGGAAGATTGTCAGTACATGATTCTAGCCTTATGACTGCTACTGATGGTAACTCTTTGGGCAACAAACCTGAGAATGTGATAGGGGCGCGGATCATTCATTATGGCGTATGACTATAATCAGATACTGAAAATGGGAAATAGTCGATCTTCTTGGTGGCAGACTTAAATCACTTTGAGTTGGACGTAGAGATGGATTTCGATGGGAAGTGGGACCACCCGGCCGGATAAAGCCACGCTCTCTAATGTGGGCATATCCAATATTGCCACGCTATTCATTGCCGGTAAACAACTAACTCCACGTCGTTATTACTAATCGCACGCTGATCAAGTGATGTCATGTGCTCGCGCGCCAGCCTAAACGAAAAAGGAAATATCACGCGTCTGCCTGGCTCTAGACTAGGAGCCTCATCTCATCGTCTTTTTCACTTTTTGTTTTTTCCACATCTCCCGTTTCTTGCGGTGTTCAGATTCAATGGCTCAAAAAGAGGCAACCATTTACATTGTCGACGTGGGCAGGTCCATGGGCGAACGGCGTCATGGCCGCTCCGTCACAGATCTGGAGTGGGCCATGCAGTATGTCTGGGACAAGATCACCACCACGGTACGCGTTTTCTCTCGATATTTATGAACATCGCTCACCAAATTTTAGGTTGGAAATGGCCGAAAGACAGCGAATGTTTCGGTTCTTGCTCTGCGTTCAGATGGTAGGCATTTCCATGCAATGTCATTCGTTTCCCTTCGGGCAAGTCTAACTAGACAAAACCAGACACGTCAAATGAGCTCCGAGAGGACGCACATAACTCGAACATATCGGTTCTTTCGAGATTAGGACAGTATGATGTCTATTGGTACCTGGCAAAGTACACGACTGACCCTCGTATAGAGTTCTCATGCCTGATATCCGAAGCCTGAGTGATTCCATCAAACCCAGCAATACAAACCGGGGCGACGGTACATGAATGCCCCCTCCTGATATGGACATAAACCAGCAAGCTGACTCTAATCAAGCCATTTCTGCCATTGTCGTTGCTATTACAATGATCAATGAGTTTACCAGAACGCTTAAGTACAAGCGGAAGATCGTCCTGGTCACAAACGGTACTGGGCCGATGAGCGACAATGGCCTTGAGGAGATCCAAAAGAAAATCGTCAGTGATGGAATTGAACTGGATATTCTGTAAGTGAATTACTATGTGTCGTTGCTGTTGTACCCGACTAATCTTCTACAGGGGAGCTGATTTCGACGATCCGGAGTACGGGGTAAAAGAGGAAGATAAAGATCCCCACAAGGTAATATTTACCCCCAAAAAATGGTGGGAATCCTGCTTATGCTCTTTGCAAACTCACAGGCACAAAATGAGAGCCTGCTTCGTGGATTCGCTGAAGGCTGCGGGGGGGACCTATGGAACCCTAGAGGAGGCTATCGCTGAATTAGAAACCCCTCGGATTAAAGCCGTCAATCCCATGCCATCTTTCAAAGGCATGCTCAGACTTGGCGATTCTCAGAAATACGAGACAGCTGTACAGATTCCGGTTGAGCGTTATCCCAAACATACGTCGCCCGCCCGCCGTCTGCCAGCTCTTTTGTCCCTGTCTCCAAAAAGACCCAGGAAGAGGAAGGAGACCCGAAGCCAAGCCAAGGCGATGCTCTTACAGCTGTGAGAATGGCACGAACTTACCAAGTTGACGATCCGTCTGCGGTTGGTGGCAAAGTTGATGTTGAACGTGATGACCTCGCAAAGGGCTATGAGTATGGCCGGACAGCTGTCCACATCAGCCAAATAGATGAAAACATTACGAGATTAGACACATTCGCCTGTCTGGATCTCATCGGTTTCATCAGCCAGGACAAGGTAGAGAGAGCATCATCATTTGATTTGATCGAACTTCGACTAAACTAATTGCTCTACAGTACGATCGATACCTGCACATGTCCAATGCTAACATTATCATTCCGGAACGTGCAAATGATAAGGCTTCTCTGGCACTGTCGTCTTTCACCCACGCCTTACACCTATCGTCTTTCTATGCTGTTGCTCGAATGGTCACCAAGGAGAATCGAGCCCCTCTGGTCGTCTTGCTTGCACCGTCCATCAATGCAGGTTATGAATGCCTCATTGAGGTACAGCTTCCTTTTTCGGAAGATGTTCGATCATACCAGTTTCCTCCGTTGGACAAGGTGATCACCGTATCCGGCAAAACTATCACCGAGCACCGAAATCTCCCAAATCAAGACCTCCAAGAAGCAATGGATAATTATGTTGATAGTATGGAGCTGGACCACAAGGATGAACTTGGGTGAGTGGTCTGATCAGAGGACCCTGGTACACAACTGACAAAATGGATCACTCGTAGGAATGATGTGCTCCCCATTGATGAATCTTTCTCTCCGCTGCTGCACCGGATCGAGTCGGCAGTACGGCATCGTGCTGTGCAGCCAGACAACCCCATTCTTGAGTCGCCTGAAATCCTCACCAAATTCGCACATCCTGATGAGGAGCTTGTGAAGAACTCAGCGTCCTTGCTTGAGAACTTGATCTCTAAAGCGGATGTTAAAAAAGGTAACTACTATTCTGGTTTAACTAACGGACCTCTTGCTAACCATATTATTTTAGTTCCTCCCAAGACAAAAGGACGCAAGCGCCAACGCGAAACAGAGAAGCCTCTTTCCGGTCTGGACGTCGACGCTCTTCTCAACCAAGAGCCAAAGCGTGCCAACATATCGCCCGATAATGCTATCCCGGAGTTCAAGCAGATGCTGTCCCGTGCGGAAAATATTGAAACCATTATTGGTGCCGTCAAGCAACTATGTGCTATCATCGAATCACAGATCAAGAACAGTCTGGGCGACGCCAACTATGATCGTGTTGTGGAAGAATTGGGAACTCTGCGTGACGAGCTAGTTGACTACGAAGAGCCTGCTCTTTACAACGATTTCCTGCGCTCATTAAAGTCAAAGATGTTGCTAGAGGAGCTCGGTGGCGATCGACGAGAGCTGTGGTGGCTATTGCGACGAAGCAAGATTGGCCTTATTGACCGAAAGGCCTCTGATCGATCTGAGGTCTCAGAGGAAGAGGCAAAGGAGGTGAGTAAATCAACACCAAGCTTGCAAGATGATACTAACGCATCCGCAGTTCCTTTCTCCAAGTTGAAACTCTGGGTAGGGACTATTAACTATGAACCGCAAGCACGAACTTGCATTCCTTTTAGCACAATTCACGAGAATGGCACATCAAATAATGCCCCGGGAGAGAAACCTTGTGATCTTGTAAATTTTCAACACTATCAACATTTCGCGCATAGGGTATAGTAAACCAAGATAACAGCAATGTAGCACCATGATATCCGTACCAATGAACGCTCGAACCCCTCCTCAATGTCAGAAAACACCACAGTCTATGATAAGTTTCGGTAAAGGAAGAATATGCAACTTTCGCTTGATAATTATGAGATCTTGCCGATGCGCTTTTTACCAACATCGAGCTTGGCCTTGAGTCTAGAATAGTAGTTAGCACTTCAAGGTGCGAGTAGTTCGGGTTCAGAGGGGGAACGAACCGATCAGTGTCCTCATCCGCCAACCTCAACAAATCATTATGCACTTCCAGCTCTTCATGAATAGCCTGCCCCAGCTCTCTCTGTCTGATGATAATCTTCAACAATTCGTCCACGCTCTGATCCTGATCCTGCATCGTTTGTTTTTGCAGCTGCAGTACTCCCTGGTTGTCAAGCTCACGCGTCCGCTCCGTTTCTTTACCGAGAACTCTTCCGGGGCGAGCGGGGGTTCGGCGCCCATTGCTTGCACTATCGAGTTTCCCAAAAAGTTCTTCCTTGTCCTTATCTGGCATTGCGGCGACCGCGCTATCGAGTCGGGTCTTGGTTGCCATGGCTTGTAACAGGTCTTCCAGGCCATCTTTTTCCTTGCGCGCATTTATGAGAAGATCCTTCCGACGGCGCAGTTCGCCCTCTCCCAGGCTGGACGAAGGAGACTGGCCGGGTTGGGACCCACGGCTGCTCAGGGTCCTCAGGCCTTCCTCCAGGTGCCCGAGCATTGTACCCGCGCGCACAAGACTGCTCTTTGCCTGGGCGGAACTCTCATGTTGCTTCGAAGGAATAGTCTCTTGGTCACGACGAGAAAGTTGGAGGCGGGCGTCATGTAGGTGTGTTTTCATGTCGCGGTGGTAATCGAGCCATAGTGTTGGGTCGGTGATCTGGCCGTTGGATGCGGAACCAGGATCTGTGATCGCGGCATGTAACCGGTTCGAGGTGTTCTTTGCGCCGTTCGAGGAGGCGACGGCAGCTGTGGGGAGGTTCAGAAACGTCCGCCAGGCAGAAGAGGTGCGCCAGCGACCATCGGGCGATTCATTGATTGCTTGGAGGTACTCTTCCAGCCCACGGCGACGATCTTCTCGAAAGCTTTGGTTTGAGACAGTGTTCGAGAACCAGGACTTTGAAGGGAGGGACACTGGTGGCGGTTCACTGGTCTGGGTGATAAGGGAGGCGTGAAAAGCGGAGAAGTCGGAGTAGCGCTTGGAGACGGTGAAGGAGCGAAGTGGGAGACGCAGAGTGATGTGATAGACTGTGTGAGGTGGGGATGTGGGTGAGAGACTGGTGGTCGGAATGGCGATCTCAACGGTTGGCGCCATGGCTGGTGTAGTGGGATGTAAGGAGAGAAGAAGGGAAGAAGGGAAGAAGCTATTGAGACAACCTTAGGAAAGTCTACTACTCGTAGTACGATGGTCCTCCGGGCCAACACGCATGACGCAAGGCACCCGAAACGGTTTAGTCCCGTCACGCTCAGGTATATAAATGATCTACTGCTGTACAAAGTTGACATGCTGCCAGTTACTGGTGACTCTGCATTTAATAATTTTGTAAAATTTTGCAAATGGGGTATATGTTTGAAAATCAGGGTGGGGTTTGCGCTCCAGTCCAAACCTCTCGTGCCTCCAAGAGATCTCGCTGCCCAAAGAATTCGCCCACGACAGTGATGATCATATCGAGCATGGCACGGATTTGTTTCACCCGAGTCTCGCTATTGGAAGTATCCTCCGGTACAGCGTCCTCGCTATCTTGTAGCCTGGCCTGTAACCTCGCCTTTGCCGCCGCCAGTTCGTCTGGTTGGTCGGCATCACTAGGCATCTCCACGTCATGTGTATCCGATTCTTCAGCTTTGTGCTCAGTTGATGGAGTTGCTGGCTCCTCTTTGCCATCTTGATCATATTCTTCGGTGGGTGAATCTTCTTCATAGGCCTCCTCCTCCTCCTCTTCGGCTTCCTCGCCCGCCTCTTCTGCCTCTCGAACCTTTTCAAGGATCTTCGCGGCCCGTTTCCCGAGATCGCGTATCTCACCCACTTCCTCTGTAGAAAGTTCTCCAACTTCGCGACATTTTCCCAGTAGGCCCCATACCCAGGCGCCCAGGCGCCTTATGCCCGCGGTATCGCCACTTCGTACATTATCCGACAGCCCTCTCGCGATCACCTGCAACACACTCAGCACACTCTCCGAGTCCATACAGGCAAGCTGCACCATCTGAGGATCAACCGCGAGGGTCAGGCGTCGCCATTCCTTGCGTGCAGGTGCATGATTTCGGGGGAGGCTGATAGGGTGCGAGTCGTCGAGGCCAGCGATCGCCGTGGCGGGAGGAGTACACCTCAAGGTGGATCGGAGAAGCAGGAATCGGTGTCGGAGAAGATTATAGTAGGAATATTGAGCTTCGGGGTATCCTTTTTCAAGAGATGCGAGCGATTTTTCGTCGGAATTCGCGGGGGCGACGTAGGCTTCGTCCATGTAGAAACCGGCTTTGAAGGACAACTTTTGCCGGTCGCGTTCACTCGAATTCACCGGAGCATTTGAATTTGGTGTTGCTGTGACCGTTTGGGAGCTTTCGGCGATGAATAGTGAGGGCAGTGCATTCGCTTCGGATCTATATTGGATCATTGGGTCAGAATCAAGTCTGCGATGAAGAAAAGATGGGATAGCTGAGCGAGAAGAGCGTTCTTTAGCACGCGCTCTGGCATCAGGCATCGGGCTTGAAGAGGGAGACTCACCGAACCATGCGTAAATACTCCAATCCATCATCTGCTGGGCCATAGAAGAGCTCGTCTCCAGCGTCGTCCAAGCCAGGGAACGCATTCTTCTGGCCGTAGACGGGGTGACTCCGTGGCTGTTCATGAGGTGTCGCTCCATCGCCGGCATCCTCGTGTAGACGAGGACGCTTGGGTGCGGGTGCCGACATGGGTGTCTTGCGCTTGTTAGGCATTCAAGGTATTAGGGGAGTTAGAGGAGAAAAGTTGAGGCAGCTTGATCCAGGCCGGGCGGCTTTCACTCATAATTAAGTGGGCCCACTCAGCTTATCGGCACTGGATCTACGATAAGCTGGCCTCCCCGTGCTGACAGTGCCAAGACAGACTATAAAGCACCTCAAGATGTGAAATGTAAATTTTTGGCATCATTTTATTCTCTCAAAACGACGATTCAACATGTTCAACAGGAATGCATAAAATACCCTGGGCTCTGTATTCGAACCCGAGACCTTACGGATTGTGACAGTATCATCATAAAATACGCTCTTTCCATCTGAAGCACCCCGAGGAAAGATGAAGTCATCGTGTCAACAACCCATCACCTAGGGGTGAAATGCATAGTAACCGAGGGATTGGAGTATTTTTGAGACTAGAATACAATTTTCCCGGGTTGGAATATTGATACTGCAAGTTTGAAATTCCGATAATGGAAGAATTGGGGCCCGGGGGATTTGGTGAATTTGATTGCATGTATGGTAATGGTGGTGGTATTCCGCAAAGGGTAGGGGGACCATTATATATATTGGACACAAAGCCTTTTGACACTGTCGCCTACAACGCCCCCAAGCGATTTTTCATTCCCGAAAAAATAACCATAAAATTGAGTAAATTTAGGGGAATTATTTTCTCACTCCAATTATTTTTTGAAAGACGTGGGTGGAAATCCTTCGAGTTGGCGTGTGCGTGAGATTCAAGTTGGTGCTGGTGTTGGCGCTCTGCCCTGGGTGTACATAGGTAGAGGCCTTTTACCATGTCGACTACAATACCCCCAAGCGATTATTTATTTTTGAAAAAAATAAGGATAAAACTAAGAAAATTTAGGAGAGTCATTTCTACCCTTTGATTATTTCTAAGAGACATGGGTGAAAATTCTTCAAGTTGGCGTTCTGGTGCGTGAGAGTAGAGGCTTTTTAACATATCGTCTACGACGCCCCCAAGCGATTTCTTTTCCCGGAAAAAATAAGCATAAAACGGAGAAAATTCAGGAGAGTAATCTCTACAGTTTGATTATTTTTGAGATATGGGTAGAAATTGTTCGAGTTGGTTGTTCTGGTGGGTGAGGGTGGATGGGAATAGCTTCAAATCCACGCCCGCGACAGCGCGCAGACATGCAGTCGAAATTAGCAGCAACCCAGGTCGTACAGGCGCACAGACCCATTCCCTGAGGACCAATGGTGATCATGGAGACCCCTGAAAATTTTAAGTATTTTTAGTAAGCAATGCGGGGGTCCCCACTTTGTAGTACTCGTACTCGATGAGATGGGAAGAATCATCGGAGATCCACATACTATTTTCAGAAACCAAGTGTTCGATAAGAATCGGTAACAAGTGGTAATAGGTACAGCTGAGGGTGAGTGGCGTAGTGGTCTAACCGACCGCTGCTGCAATAAAGCGAGTCCTCAGCACCTGCCTTGTTGTGCGCTCCGGCGCGATACAACCTGGCGGGTAGGTTCCCGGTGCACCTGATGTCCTCAGGAAAAGCTAGGATAGGTGGGAAACTGCCTATGCCTTGGCAGCATCGGATCCCGAAAATCCTCACTAGAGGGTTTTATAGCCTGGACCACCCCTTCGGGGGTTGGGAAGGGTGAATTTTTTTTTTTTTTTCATTTCCCCCTTCTTTCCCTTTCCTCTTTTTCATGACTTTCCTTCCGCCAAACTCACCATCTCATCATTAACTGGCGACTCCATGACCAATTAATGAATTAGATCTCCGTTTCTCTTCCATGTCAACCGACAGTGGGGCCCCGGGGGGGGGGGGGGTGGACCAGACTATGAATTGACAGGAACCGAAACTGTTCCTCTTTGGTCTATAAGACCCACCACGGGCAGGTGGTCCTTGTTTTCTGCATGATAGATATCAAATTTCAGCGGATACGAAGCACGTATCTTTTATATTGATTCTCTTTCAGCCTGGGAAAACAGCTCGATAGGCATGGTCCGGCTAGAGACGGAAAATATCAACTTAAAGGGTCATTCCATGCAATTCATTTTTGATCTTTCTTTGCTATATTCTATCTACACAAGCCAGCCATTCAAGGGCGCAGACGCTGGGGGTCACGGGGGAATAGCGACGCCAGACGCACGTTCGGTAGACCCAGGAAGAACATGACAATACGGTTCATACCCAGACCACCACCAGCGTGAGGTGGGCAACCCTGGCGGAAAGCATTGAGATAGTCCTCAAAGCCCTCCTGGGTAGGGTCCAGACCCTTGGAGCGCATTGACTCCTCGAGCTCGGTGATGTCGTTAATGCGCTGGGCGCCAGACATGATCTCCTCACCACGCATGAAGAAATCGTACGAGTTGGAGAAGCGGGCATCGCTGGGGTCGGCCTTGGTGTAGAAGGGACGGACAGCCATGGGGAACTTGTCCAAAACGTAGAAGTCGGTGTCGTACTTGTCGCGAATGATCTGTCCAAGCTGCTTCTCCATGGCGGTGCTGAAGTCGTTCTCGAAGCGTTCCTGCTCCGACATGTCGACGCCAGCCTCCTTCAGCAGGGCAACACCATCCATGTAGTTCAGACGCAGAGCCTTGCCGTGCTTGGGCAGCTTGAAGTCACCGGCCTTGGGGTAAGACTTCTGGATGGTAGCGATCTGGGCGGCGTAGCGCTCCTTGAGCTGGGAGAGAATAAAGACCAGGAGATCCTCAGCGAACTCAAGAACCTCGTGGTAGTGGTGGTCAAAGGTCTTCTCGAAATCAAGACCAGCAAACTACAAGTTATTAGCATAGCTACCACCAAAAAAAAACTTTCGATAATTATCGTACCTCGGTCAAGTGACGGTGCGTGTTGCTGTCCTCCGCACGGAAAACGGGAGCGATCTCGAACACGTTCTCCATATCACCGGCAATACACATCTGCTTGTACAGCTGAGGGCTCTGAGCGAGGTAACCAGTGCGCTTGAAGTACTTGACTTCGAACACGTTGCTGCCACCTTCGGTGGCCGCGCCGACCAGCTTGGGGGTGAAAATCCACCGGGAACCGCTCTTGATCATATACTCGGAGAACAGCTGGGCAACACCACTGGAGATCCAGGTGATGGCCTGGCTGGTCTCGGTTTGGAGGTCCAGGACACGGTTGTCCAGACGGGTCTTGAGGGTAACAATGGGGGCACCCTCAGAATCAACCTGGGGGGCATCATCGGCAGTCTCAACGGGTGGTGGGCGCTCGGCATCCTTGACCTGCATGGGCAGCATTTGCGCGGCTTCAGAGATCATGTACACCTTGTGGATGTGGATCTCAAGGTGCTGGATGGTAGCAGAGGAGATGGGGATCTCGGGCTTCTTGATCAGACCGGTAACCTGGACAATGGAGTTGACGTTCAGTCCACCGGTGAACTTGATCATCTGTCGGGAGATGGGCTCGGCGGCCGCAATAACGGCCTGGATCTTCTGACCCTGCTGGCGCAGCATCAGGAAAGCAAGCTTGGCACTTTGCACGCGCGCATTGTCCACACGGGCGACAACAGTAACCTCCTTCTCTTCGTCGGTGAAGTCGGTGAATCGCGTGGTGGGGTTGACATCGTCGGATTCGGGGAGCTTGCCGTAAAGGTGCTTGGCGGTGTCATTGGCTTCTTGAGCAGCAGCCTGAGCCTTCTCCTGTGCAGCGCGGGCAGCGGCCTTCTCAGCCTTAGCCTTTTCCTTTGCGGCCTTCTTCGCCGCGTTCTTGCTGGCGCTCTTAGAGTCACCTTCCGCGGCGGGAGCGGCGGGCGCGCCGGTCTCCTCGGGCTTGGGGCGAGTGGGCAATTCGGAGTCCGCCATAATGCTTTGAAGAGGAGTGTTAGATACGAACACAATTGACCGCGGGAATGTGGATTCCTTACCTTAATGATACACTTTGAATGGGGTGACTCGATGCGGTTGACACTTTGAGTCACCCCGCCGTGCAAAACTGCCCTAAACCCTAAGAGGGGTGATCATCACATGACCCCCCCACATATCGATCGCGGGGTGCCTGAGGAATCAGGAAGGATTCAATGGAAGCATACTAGTACTACTAGTACGATGGAGTTAAGAGACATTTGCTATACACTACTTGCAGATTTACCATAATCAAACAGTTGAGTTAGAATGTTTACGCGAGGCTGACAGCATCTTCCTATCATCACCAATTCCAGGTGAAAAAGTAGAATATTGATTCATGTTGGTATCCCGTAGTATGTGCATGGGATAATATGATATGACGCTAAGTTAACTCCAGGATGTAGTGACTGATCAATCTCCTGTCACCCAGATATGCATTGGAACTATACTTGGAATTTCGCATAAAGAGCCAAGCCGACCGCGAAATTACCACTTTGAAGATTTCAGTGCCCATTGAACGGCCTTCTGTACATCATCGGTAATTGTTTTAGGAGTCCATGCAGGATCACCTCCAGTGTAGACACCAGTACGGACCAAAATGGACTCCCAGCTGCTGCCGAACCCACTGCGATACGAGTTTGCGCCCCGAATGTCCGATTCTGGGTTGTCCCCAACCATATAGACTCGCTGCAAGGGTGGCAGATCTGTACCAAAGACCTTGGACCGGTTGCGGAGCAGCTGCCTTTTGGCAAACTCATACGTTCCCTGGTATGGTTTTCCGATCACAGTTTTCTTCAGCTCAATGCCTTTGGCGGGTCCACCAGTGGTCGCAGCCCAGACACCCTCGAGTGCTTCTCGGAACCCGCCCTGGCCAAGACGCGACAGAGGATAGGCTGCTGCCCACCAAAGATCCGGATTGGAGAAATACAAATGCGGCTGACCATCCTGCTGGTAGCCGTGGTTGGGCAGGTCAGTTCGGCCGTTCTTCTCTGACAGTGTACCGACGTGGCCTTGCGACGAGAGCAAGATATCCATAATTACTTGGGTATCAAGTCCCCAGTCACGAGGGTCATTGAATACAAAGACAGCATCAATCTTGAGACCCTTAGTCATATCGGTGGAATCGAGCGGCTTAGGAAGCGGCCGGGCAAAAGTCTTATAGTGATCGGAGAAGTTCTTCGAGAAGGGCCAAATCGAGGGATTGGCCATAAAGATATCACCCGGTGTCACGACATTCTTGAAGCCGTATTGTTCCGCCACTCGTCGACAATTATCGCCATCGCCTCCAGCCACCAAAACACATTTGTTCTCGAGGGCGCTCGCCGCATCAGGTCCCTTGACTAGTTCCGCAAAAGGCGAATGACTTTGAACGATGTCCGTTGCATCCAATGACACATTCAGCTTCTCGCTGATTTCTGCAACGCGCTCTGTCTCGTGTTTACCTCCGCCATTGGTAAGTAAGATGAAGGGGATCCCCTGCTCTTTCAGGAGGGCCAATGAGTCGGCAGCGCCAGGGATAGGTTTCGAAGCTCGTAGGAGGACTCCATCAATGCTGAGAAAGAATGATTAGATTGGGGAAACAGTGAGCTGGCCGTGTGCATACATCAGTCACTCACTCGAAGGCAAAGGCGAAGTTCGGGACTCGGGACGCGCTGGCGGTCTGAATAGCTCGACGGCCAGCATTGTATTGGCCGGGTACACGCCGGAGCAAATTTAGAGACCGCCACATAGTCTGCGAATTCATCTGTAAAGTGGTGAAAGGGAGGTTGTGGGAAGAAAAGAAGGAGAAGAGGAAGGGGATACAGGAGAGGGGGTGATATCATTTCCAACCCCAACTCCAACTCTTTTAACTCCGCCTTCCCCCTACCCCACTCTTTCTCCGATTCGCCGCGCATTGAGCATTCTCATCTCTCTGGACCTCATGCATAGAATACATTGATTGTTTGATACCGAGCGACCTTGATCACAGAAATGACATTGGAATTAATTAACCACTGATGGCGCGATCTCCCACCCCGTTTTTCCTAATCCCAATCCCTTTCGTCCTTTTGTTCGTGCTATTTCCATACTGACTCGCGGGGTCTAGTATTGCCCGTTCTGGTCATAGCAAAAACGTTCTACTTAGATCAACAAATCGAAGGCTAACTCTTCTTAACCCCACAACTTTGACTTTAATCAATTCCGAGCCTACTGTTTCAAAATCGGAGTCTACCAAGATACTACTCGTACTATTTACTGTACTAGCCGTTATCAAAATTCTACTTGAAGCTATTTAAAAAAATACGGTTAAATTGATAGTATGAACTAACTTCCACTCTGACGCTTCTAATCATAATCATAATCCGTCCGTCTATATGCGGGTTCGTCGTTATAATGGTATTTCTAGGCTATGCAATGCTATTGGGGTATTCTTAGTGAGACTCCGTATCCGTGGCCACTAACGCATTAATTGGTTCAATTGAGGATTGTCAATCCGAATGGGTGAGTTGATTCAAACTCAGCAAGCCGAGGGTCATCGTCGTCCGGTAGGTGAAGCCAAATTTCGTCGTCGATCTTTCGGTAGTCATTCAGCATGAGTCCTACGTCTGGAGAGACTTTAAGACACCACACATTGCTGAATTGGTTTTGCAACCCTCGGAGAAGTAAAATTTGGAGCCATTCACCATCGTCTGATTCCAACTCAAAACCAGGCTGTGCGGGATCGATCTCTAATATCTGAATGGGCGATACCTGTAGCCCCGGGCCATCGAGCAGCGTCGTAGCAAGATCTGCAGGTATTTTGAGATGGTAAAGCATCTCCATTGACTCGAGAGCTCCCGCTATATCGAATTGTTCATTTTCCACTTCATCTTTCCATATGTCGTGATTATCAGAACCGATGGTCAGTTCTCTGAGCCCTTGACTAAGCCTCTTGTTACGCAGAGTAACCGCGAGGACGTAAAGATCAAGATTAACGCAATGATCAAATGTTAACTTTTCGAGATTTTCCGGCCAGCAGAAATCTAACATCGTTTCGTAATCGACGTGGCCCCCGACTATCAGATCGATCAGTGACTGCGGCCACTGATCCACGGTGTCGTTTGTATGAACGAGCTTCATTGAAGTGGGAAGTATGAGACATTCGAGCCTTTTAATACCACTGATAGCTTTTTTGAGTTTCGGAAAGCTTATAGAGCTTCCTATAACCAAGCTTAAGTCTAAACGTAGAAGATTCTGGCATCTGGAAAGCGCTGCAAGGCTGTTGATGCTACTTGATAGTTAGTCTCGGTCCAAACGATGGCCACCGCCCTATAAGACCTCTCCGGATTTACTCACGCAAAGGATACACGAGGTGCCGTGAAAGAAATAAGGCTTGAGCTCGCCGCTTTTAATAGCCGTGCAGTTTGGCTAGGGGAGCTGTGGTGGACCAGCTCCTGCAAGTGAAGCTCCTTCACCAAAGACCCGAGGTCGACCTTTGATTTTTTGGCCCTGGACTGGGGACTGACTGTGGATAGAAAATTGCCGAACTTGTTTCCTCGCGCAAGTTGCGGGCTACGATACAGAAACTCGATGCTGGCCGAGTACCATGCACGACCAAGAAGGCAGAAGTTGTACATATTTTTCTGGCGAGAGAGCAACGAGTCCTTCTGTCCTTCATCAGCCCAGTAGAGAAATTGGGCAATGAGAATGAGAATTTCCACTGGAAGGTCGGGGGCAACGAAATCGCCCATGTTGGGTGGTTGGACTTTCATGGCAAGCGGAGCCGGAGGCAAGGGCCAACCTAAGGCGCTCCATACGTAGTTTTGCTACATGAAAAAATTATAGTAGCAAAATTATTATGTAATAATTTACTAGTAGTAAGGTCGGGTGAGATACATCCACATCCTAAAAGTCTATACCCACAGCGACTATCTATGTATACGATAATATTTATACTGAAATTTATTTGTTAGTATAGCATTGCCTGGCCTAATTTTTCATGATGTAAAAAGATTGGTGGCCTTAAGGTGACCCCGGAGCTCGTACTACGTAGGAACCTTACTAGGCACCTTTGCCGTCATGACAATTGCTACTAGTAATACATAGAAAGGATACAACGGATACGAATCTGGTAGCGAACCAAGTAGCTACTAGTAGTACCTTATCTGAGATCTTTACCCAGCTAGGTTTATTCAGTAACCAAATTTAATTGCTTCGCCTCGGTCCGCACGCAACAATCGATCTATGTAGACACCCCAACAAAGCAGAAGATAGAGAAGAAACGGAAGAAAATCGGCTCGATAACAGACAAAAACAAGTCCTCCAAGCTTTTATTGCGGCCATCATGGGACTCGTCATAAGTAGCAGAAATCGCCCTGGAAGCTTAAGAAACAGCGGCACAGATTGAGAATGAACAAGAACAACAGGGTGCGAGGGCGCGTGAAGAATGCAGAACCATCCTCATGTCTACTACAATTTGATATCGAATGGAGAAAAGAAAAGGGAAATAGTTTAAAAGGGAAAACATTAAGTGACAGAGGCAAGCACCGCAGCAGCAACTCCCTCTTCTTCTGCCCGGACAGTGATCTTGGTTGTGATACCGCTCTTGCTCGAGAACGCCATCTTGACCAGAGCAGCCACCCGGCCACCAGAGACGGTCTTACCGAAGAGCTTCAGGGTGTGTGTGCTGTTGTTGAGAGCAACATCAGTCCCCTCCAGGGGTTGGAGGGAAAGGGCAGCGATCAGTTGCTCCGTGGCATCTGGAAAGTTGTTAGTAACTTAATATTTAATCAACTGGAACGCAAATGAGATACATACCGATGATACTCTTCATGTTGCTCAATTGCAGAGTCTCACTCTCCTCCTCGCCATTAGCGCCAGTCTGCTCCCAGACGTGGTCGAAGCTGCCGGCAAAAGTGGGGATAACGTAGTCGCTACCAGTGAGCTCGAGATCTTCCACCTGGTACTCGTCATCGTAGCCCTCATCCTCGGGATCGCCAGTGGTAGGATCGATCTCCTTGCTGGTGAACTTCAGGATATTGGTAAAGGAAGAGATTGGGACGCTGTGCTCGCCACCCAGCTTCTTGAAGGCAGCGTAGACGACGCCAGGCTCGTTCGGCGAAAGCTTGGGGGCAGGAATCATGAAATCATCCTCCAGCACGTCATCCTCCTCTGGCGTCGCGACCACAGTCACGTTTTCAAGGACGGTATCGGGAAGAGTGTTCTTAATATCATATTGCACAACGATGTGCTCCTTGAAAATGTGCTTGACAGCAGTCACAACATACTCAGTCTCGCTCTCAGAAAGCTCGACAGGACCGGAAGACTTGAGCAAAGTGCCGTATTCCTTGATATCGGGGTGTTGCATGAGTTGCTCGGCATACTTTTGGGTGGCAGCCGCACTGTTTGCCTCGGTAGCGCTGTTCGCCTTGCTCTTCGTAGGACCGGCCGAAGGGGCCTTGAGGGTGGGTGTGGCGGAAGTGAGCTTCTTGGTCCGCTCCTCGGCCAAGGCCTGCTCGTGGCTGACAACGGGAACAGAAGAAACATCAAAGGCAGCAGCGAAATTCTGCTTGTCGTTCGAGGTCACATACATGACAAGTTGGTGCTCAAAGGTGGAAAGAGAGTACATGGAGTCTAGGGGTGTCAGTAAAAAATTGCATTTTGAGAGGGAAGTCGGATTTCTTACCGTTCTTGATAAACGGTCCTGCCATAGCATCATCTGCTCCCATCAAGCGCAGGTTGAGGGCAGCACGATCGCGAACCTCATCGTCGGTATCGTCGAGACAACGGGTGAGAAGAACGTGCACACTCGACTTGACTTCAGGGTCAGTTTGGCCAACACCAAACTTAGCCAGAGCAGTGACGGCAGCGGCACGCACAATGGCGTTCTCCAGCACGACACGGTTATAGATATAGCGGATGTACTTGGTAGGGTGCGAGGTCTTGGGGCCCTCGACACCAAGCAGATGCAGAACGCGGACAGACAGCTTGGTGAACTCGCAGTCCTCGATAAATTCGCAAAGATGAGCAAGAGCTTCTTCCTTACTCTCGGGGACAAATTTGATCAGATCGAACATGCTCTCCACAACAGTGCGCTTGAATTCATATCCACCCTCGTCACGCAGAATGCCACTCAAGAACACGAGCATACCGGCTTGCTTACTGGGGAACTTGAGGCACAATGTGCGGATAGCCTCGACAATAGTGATCTTAAACTCATCGGTGATATCGGCCATGAAACCCGAGATCTGCTTCATCAGGCGATCGACACTAGCCTCGTTACCGGTCTTAAGCAAGGTGGTGATAGCAAAAGTAGCGATAGAGCGGTTGGTGTTAGAGATAAGCGACTCAATATCGGGGTTGCAGACGTTGACGACCTGCGGCTTGAAGGAGGCGAAGTTGTGGAGGATGCGAATGGCGGCGAACTTCGTGATAGAGCGTGGGGAAGACAGGAAAAGCTGAAGAACGTGGACAGCCTGGGATGCCTCGGCGTCGGTGACATCTCGGAGGTCGCAGATGGCCTTTGCAGCCTCGAAGTTGACCATCTCGTGCTTGTGACGGAGCCAGCCATCCAACATCTGCATCATGGGTTTCCGGAGACCAGGATCCTCCTCCGCCAGCTTAGCAGCCAGGCGGACCAGCAGAACCAGGGCAGCAGGGCTCTGACAACGCCTGCGGCACCATATTGCTGAACCATCTTCACCAGCGCCATGCGATCGTGCGAGCGCATTTGGTACAGGAGACCAATTGCGTGGTATTGTGTCATAAAGTTCGACTGGGAGATGGCGTGGGCCTGAGAGCCAGATGAGAAACCTAGGAAACCGGTAGACTGCTTTGAAGAAGAAGCAGCTTCTTGAGTCTCACTCTGCCATCTCCGAACGACATCGCGAGCAACGGGCAGGAGGTGGTAGGACGAAACCAAGGCGGCGGAGGAAACCGAGGGAGTCTTGTCGACAATGGCAGTCTTGATGAGTCGCTCAATGCCCTGGACTGTGGATCCATCGATGATACGGCACAGCGCCCGAATAGCGTTGGCCCGGTAGAGAACGTCGCTGCCAACGGCAGTGTCCTTCATGATGATACTGGTGGACATGATAACATCCTCCGCAGTGCCCGCAAGCTCCTTCAAAATCAGATACACCATCTGTCGCAGCGAGGGATCCTTGTTCTGGAACAGCTTTGAGATACCGAAGAAGAGGGTTGTGGCTTCGTTGGTTGGGAATTGCTCCCCAGTGAAGAGGAGGACCGCGATCTTGGTCAGTAGGGTTCGGCATGTTCGCGGTGAGATGGGGGAGGAATTGAACAGTCGAGCTAGAAGAATTGGCCTAGGTCAGTACACAAGGAGGGAGTGGTGCGGTTGTGAATCGGAGTGCCAGGGGGGGAGGCCATTGTCCGATTGCATACCGTCTTGGAACACCGAGGTCCGATCAAGCCTGATCATGACCTGGTCCGCATCTTCGTCTTTCTTCATATAGCTCATCTTGCCCAGGTGCTGGGATTGCACCAGCGGATTGTGTTCGCGATCTCCTTAGGCTCGGAGTGGGTTCGATTGGGGGGTGGAGGGAGGACAGAGTAACAGCAGGAGGGCGGTGTAGGCCAACTACTGCATGCGCATAGTCAACCCCCAAAGCAAAGGGCGAGAAAGAGGAGAGGAAAAAGAAAAGGGGTGTGGAGAAGAGTTGGTGATGAATCTCGACCTCGAACTCCAACTGTTTATGGAGTTAGGTGAAGGTGGCCTTCCGTGTGTTTGGCAGCCACTGTGGCGCCCGAGCCAAACACTGCAAACAGGTGGCATCATGCATTTGAGATGCCTTGCTCCGCTCTCTCAACTTGCTCTCTTTCCCTCTTCCACAGTCTCTATTCTCTTCATTTCTTGATACGGTTCACTGTCAAATTGAAGTCAATATGCAGGTTGAAGTCAACCCCAACGAGGACACTGAATGGTATCGTCCCTTATTACCTGCATGAAGCATGCATTCCCGCTTGCGGGGACAGCTATATATGACCACGTTCTGACTTGATTTCTCTTTTTTTTTTTTTAGGAACGACATTCTTCGCCAACATGGAATTATCCCTGAGAAGCCCAAAGACCCCGAACCTTTGATCCAAGAGGCTCTAATCGAGGCCACTCGAAAGGCCCATGAAAATCGCCTGGAGGACAAGGATGTTGATGAGTTGGATGCATTAGAAGACGAGGAGGATGAGGAATTCCTTCAGCAATATCGGTGAGTCTCGTGCCTGCCACCAGCACAGCTGTCCCCTGGATTCTCGCAAGCCCTCGGCATGTTCGATACCCAGTTCAACAACCAAACTAACTCCTTACCTTGTTAGTCAAAAACGCCTTGCAGAGCTCAACACACTACAACATACCAGTCTTTTCAACCAGGTCTATCCTCTCCAGAAAGTCGACTATGCCCGAGAGGTAACCGACGCCTCCAACAGCGCCTTCGTGCTTGTCAATCTGACAGCCCAAGGTGCCAATGTTGAGTCCCGGGTATTGACAGAGCTATGGCGGCAAATGGCAGTTAAGTTCGGCGACATCAAGTTCTGTGAGATCCGCGCCGACATGTGTATTGAGGGGTACCCAGAGAAGAATACCCCCACCATTCTCGTCTACAAAGATACCGAGATTAAGAGGCAGTTGATCACTCTTCGGGAACTCAACGGACCCCAAACCAAGATCGAAGACTTGGAGAAGCTACTCATTGACCTTGGTGCGCTGAAGGAGAGTGATGTTCGTCTCAAGAAGCGCTCCGACTCCATGGAGGCGGGTGATGATGAACTGAACGTTGAAGATTATGATGACGACTGGGATTAAGATCCCTCGACTACTCGACGTAACACGACCCAGAATTTTCATGACTATGCGATGTTTTGTATATTATGCAATTGGTCCAGTTTATGACCTTATGTTGGAGATTGGAAAGAGGAGGATTTGAAGCAAAAACTGTAAAAATCATCCCAGATGATGAAGATTCCAGGGCTCGGATTGTATCCAGACCCTGCGAGATCCAGCCAATGGGACAGGATTATCAGGCCAATTCTCGTGCGTGGTTGATCCAGCGACGGAAGGCATGCAAATAAGCAGCTGTTGAATTGTACATTCCTCTAGTTTTGAAGTTGTTCCTGCGACGTTTTGGACATAGTAATTTGTTTTCAGTAGAAGCTACTATCGAGCCTGATATTTCAAGGCTGTCCAAAAGACAAAAGAAGTTTCAATGTCAACTTGAATGTGCTAAACAATATAAAACACATAATAGCCTAAATATACCAACTAAATGTAGTCAGGTAGATCCGTTGCCAACTCGCTGAACTCCACGCAACCCAGCGCCAAAAACAAACATCCAAAAACCCTCTGCAAAAAAGGAAAACCGGTCATATATCATCCGTCCATCAAACAAAAGATTCAGTATATCATTTATATCAAAGTAGGTCATCTCTCTCGGCCGCACTCTGTTCAATAGCCAAGCGCACTTGGCCTTCTTTAAAAGCAGGGCCCTGGCCATCGCACTGGGCTAGGCCCTTGAGTTTGTCTGTGACAATACCTATATCCACTTCACCACGCTTAAAGAGCTCATGGTTCTGAATAAGGTCCCAAGTTGCGCCGGGGCCAAGAAGCTTCTCGCCGGTAACCTGGCACACCGTGATACGGTGCTGCTGCGGGCTCTGAGGGCTGAGCGGTGTTGAACCAGGGTGTGGAACCCATCCGGACTCCTCGGAGGTGACTTTGGAAACGAAGTCGATGGGAGTGTATTCCATGGGTCCCGTAACGGGGGCTTGAGGTTGTTCTTTTGGCGGACCATTGTTATTGCCATTTAGAGAATGTGATGTGGCGCGCAGAATCTCATTCTCTGTTGCGTATTTGGCGAGCTGGCGCTTCAGGCGCTCATTATCTGCTTGAAGAGAGGTGGATGAATCCTCCAGGCTGTTGACTTTATCCTCTCAGGTCTTTCACATGCCTCTCTTTTCGTTCGCGGAATGCGCGTTGACTATATATTGATCTCTGTTAGCCGGTTTGACATCAACCAATTGCAGGCGGATGATTATCTCGCTATGATAAACAGGATATGCTGCGTAATATTGTTCTGGAGATCTCGCTCGGGTTGTCACATACGCTGCTCGGTTTTGCGCTTTGCGCTTCGTTTGCGCTGGCGTCATCGATTCCTTCTCCTCGCTGCTGCTTCGACCTAAAGCCGGGTCGCCAAACTGATTGTCATCTCCATCAATAGAGGAGGTGCCTGGTTTGGTATTATTATTCGGGTCATGGCTAGAGACGGAGGTTTTGCTATAGGAGTCCGGCGGCGAATGTGGCGGCGGCACGAAGGATGAGGAGGGGTCGAGGCGGGCAGAAGGATCAAACCCGGGAAAGTACTGGTTATAGTTGTTCTAGGACTAGAGTCAGAGGACCGAGTCTATCGAAAACAGGGCATAGGGAGGAATATATCGTACCAGTGAGAAGGGATCGCGGAGCCCATTGTCAGAGGGTGGCTGAGGCTGCTGGTCGGGGGTGGGCAGCCCGTATAGCGAGAATGGTTGGGATTGATTGTCTGGGTAGTTGGAATAGTCCATCACGCCACAACCTTTCTTTGAAGCACAGATTCGTTTAGTAGTCAAGATATAAAGTGGAAGGGGAGGAGATATGAAGTCCGGCGGGATGGACCCTGAAGGTTTCAAGCGTGGGTTTGACCCCGAGAGATTTGATTGATTGTCCCCACCGATACTCGGGGCCCGACTACAAACAGTACTAAGTAGTTAAGAGTATTACGCCACAAAGCACCAGATTGACCCGAACCCAATTTTTCATTTTCCATTTTGCATTCCACAGTTCGTTTTTTATTTACTATAACTAATATGGGGTCCCTCGCCTGTCTACCGTATAGGGTCAGGTGCCTCTGGTGGACCGCGTCTGGCCCGCCCTTGGGAGGGCCAGAACCGAGCGAACTACTCCATACGAACTCGATGATCTCACCGCAACTTTAAAAAAAGAGCTCAGAACTAGTATCCGCCACCTACGCTGAAAAATATTGTTGGGATAAAGGGTTTTGATATTAGACTGTAAGAAAGTGAAAGGCAGGTTCTTCCATCGGGACCTGGTCCCGGGACTGGTCGGAATTCATAAGAATATCCAGAGTCGCGCTGCCTGATCGCGGTCAGAATCGGCTGCCTCTCGGGGGGTTGGGAAAAGACAAAACAAATTGGAGATGTCGGTGCTGTAGTTGTAGCAGTGAAGTATAGGGCTAGAAAAACAGAAAGAAAAGTACAAGTGCAATCGACGCGAAACCACCCCGGAAGCGACCCTATCCACGTCCGTCGCCAATTACCAAAGGAGGCCTGATCCTCTCCGAACGGAAGACGTTGAAAGACCGAGCAAAACAAGAATCCCTGTACAAGAACCCACAACAGGAATCCCGAATGTCTTTGAACATCATCACCTCGAAGAAGTCATTCCGTACATCCACCTCAACAACTCGACCGGGGTTGCCGGCCGTCACCTCGTCCCCACATGGCGTCGATTTGCACAAAAACAGAAAAACAGAAAAGGAAAAAAGAAAATTCAGACAGGGGATTGAGAGAATGAAACAAGACGAATAGGGAAAAAGGGGCGATAATGATGGGGTAACGCATCCGAGTATGCGTTTCCAGGACGTCCAGTGCCAGCAATCAAAAGGATCAGAAAAAAAGGTGAATGTTCTCCTGTCCAATTCGATGCTGTCATTCGCATCTCCTTCAGTCTTCCCTTTCAAGTTGCTTGCGGTGGTGATTAAGTGGAAGCAAGCTACCAAGTCGCAAACATCAAAGGCGAAGACACAAGAATAGCCATCATTCAAACACGTTCCGAGAGTTGAGTTATCGGTTGGCCCGGGAATATCGGGGACAAGGAATCCGAACAAGAAAAAACACTAGTTGCCAAAGTAGACGAAAGCTCGACGCGGAAATCGGCCAAGAGTAAATGGCAACATCCGCGAGTTGGAGGAGTGAGCAGGCGAGCAAACAATGGCAGATCGAAACGGTTGAAGTCGAAAGTTGATCGAAATAGAGTTGAAGGGCTGTGGGAGATTTGCAGAATGAATGGAGATCCAAGGAGAGAAAAGAAATCCGAGAAGGCGAGTGCAATGTTGCGTCCACGGCGAATGACAATGGAATCCCGGGTTTCTTAGGTTGAAAGTGAGGATACAGGAGACGTGAGTCCCACTGCGACGCTTCACACAATTAGTACCACTGAGCCCCTGTACCATCGTCCCGCTTCGAACGGCCACCAGAAGGTCCATAACCTAGAGCAGCACCTTTCGAGGCAGAACGCAGCCTAACGCCGAAGACTATGCGATTAGTCAGATTCAGAACTGTAGGGTCCTCCACGCCAGCGTCACAAGAAAACAGCCAAACGCAAAGTTTAAAAAAAGGGGTTCCCTACACGGAACCAGGTTTCATGTACTCACATCCTGTCACTCCCTCCCACGGCACGGTTGGTGTCCGGTGTATTGTCGAGGGTGCCGCGGTCAATAACCTTACGGCGCTGGCCCGAGATGGCACCAGGCTTAGCAGCGCCTCCGGGGCCCATGGCGGCAGTAGCAGCAGCCTGACGGCGCTGCTGCTCGTCGTCCTTATCCTTCTTGGTGGCATCCACGATCATAGCGGCGTTCTTCTGGTACTTGTAGACGGTCCAGTCGAAGACGTAATCGTACTGGAAGGACTCACGGACGAAGAGATCACGGAAGATCTTGCGGAGATACGAGTAGTCGGGCTTGTCGTCGAAGCGAAGCGAGCGGGTGTAGTTAAGGTAAATAGCAAACTCATTAGGGAATCCACGGCAGAGAACTTCGGTAGGGGTGGTCATCTTCTTTTCCATGATACGGTCATACTTCTGCTTCTTGGTGGCAGCCTTCAGACCCTGCCAGGGAAGAGATCCACGGCAGAAGTAGAGCATGACATAGCCCAGAGACTCCATGTCGTCACGGCGAGACTGCTCAACGCCAAGGTGAGTGTTGATACTGGCATAACGGGCAGTACCGGTGAGGTTCTTGTTCTCACGATAGGGGATGTGGAAGTGAGTCTTGGGGTCGCGGTACTTCTTGGCGAGACCAAAATCGATAACATTGACCTGGTTGCCGCGCTTGCCGATACCCATAAGGAAGTTGTCTGGCTTGATGTCACGGTGAATGAAGGACTTGGCGTGGATGTACTCGATACGGGAGATGAGTTGATCGGCGAGGAGAAGAACGGTCTTGAGAGAGAACTTTCGGTTGCAGAAGTTGAACAGGTCCTCAAGACTGGGGCCCAGGAGATCGATCACCATCGCATTGTAGTCGCATTCGGTACCGAACCAACGGACAAAAGGAATACCGACACCACCGGCCAGAGACTTGTACACACGGGCCTCATATTCCAGCTGGGGGTGCTTGGCCTTGACACTTTCAAGCTTGATAGCGATCTCCTCACCAGAGATGATGTTTGTTCCTGGATTTTTGTCAGTTCCCATCGACCCATGTAGAACGAACACCGAAAATGAATCGTACCGAGATAGATATCACCGAAACTACCACTGCCAATCTTGCGGCCAATGCGGTATTTGTTACCAACACGCAGATCCTGTGTATGATGTCAGTATATTCCGGTCGTTCTAGCCAGCTCGTAGTCCGGGTTTGCCAGGCGTATGACTCCCATGATTGCATCAAAGTGTCGTAGGGTGGTGAAGATGAGGAACAAGGAGGGTCCGATCGGAGGTGGTACTGACCATGGTCGTCATGTTGATTTATTAAGGTGGCACAGCGACTAGGCGTGCTGAAACTGCTGGGTGTTGTGTTAGCGGGGGATGGAGAAGGGTGAGATGGTGAAGAGAACGTGTGGATTGGGGAGAGAAGGGGTTGGGAAGCAGTGAAGGGACGATGGGACAATGATGAGGCGACAGTGAATGCCCAAGTCAGGTTGGAGAGGGGGTGTGACGAGTTGAGCCTCAGGCCAACGAGCAGAGGCAGAGAGGCAGGGCTCGGCGGTTGCAGAGTGTTGGCCACCACACTTGGGTATGCAGGCAACTGGGGGAGAGAAGCGTGTGTCTTTCAGATGGGCGGAGACTGGAGAATCATGCCACCGGAGGAGGGGAGGGGGAGAAGGTTGATGTAGAGGGCCGAGATAGTACACGACGAAAGGAACTCGCTCACCTGAAGGGCAAAGGCGGGTCAAACAGAAATGGTCCAATGCCGACCGGTACAGTATTTGTACAGAACCCAAGGGGGGTTGGTTGAGTGACAGATGAATCGAATGTGTCGAGAGGAGCAAGAAGCAGAAGCAGAGAAGGAGAAGGCAGAAGAGAAGAGAAGAGAAGACTAGTATCAAGGGCAAAGCCTTGATGGGGTAAAGGTTCAAGTTGGGAGGGAAGGGAAAGGAGAGGGGGGTAAAAGGCAAATAATGGTAATATGCAGCGGTAGTCGGTGAAGAGAAGGCCCAGTCCTAAAATTTCAAGTTATTAGCGAAGGGGGCGGACGATGTACCGTACGGTATTTGATACTGTACACTGCAGGGCGCGCGAGCGGTGTGTCCCCTAGTGTCTTTGGACTGGGCTGCGCTGGGCTGCGTAGACTGCTTAGACTGCTTAGGCCGCCTCCTTACGGTATCATCGTATTGTACCACTCGTATTGGGCTGCAACAGTTCGTGAAAAGAGGCTTCGTATTATGCAGAGGGACTATATATAGATCTCAATATGGCTATAGATACGAAACAGCATAAACAATATATGTACAGTACTACTCTCTATGTATATAAAATATTCCAATTCATAAACCCTACTCCGTACTAGTAGTAATAATTGATTTCATGGCTTGCTGCCTTGCTAGGGAAAGACTCCTTAATGTTACTACGTACTAGTATCGATCATTTGACAGGTTTCGGGCATTCTGGGCGCGGCCATTGCCGGAGTCCGCCTCAGCTGACCCCAGACTCTAAAGTGCATGCTGCAAAAATAACAAAAGCCTCGCGTTAAAACCTAACAGACGCCTTCATAGCGTACCCTCCTCGATCTCGGGGAATTATCCCGGCCAAGTCCCTCAAATTAGTTATTTACCCGGAGTACAAGGAAGGGTACGGTCCGATATCAACCTTATGCGGGATTTTCCTAGCCCGGAAATACGGAGGTGTCTCATATGTTACTAACCCCCAGTAATACCCCCAGGCCGAACTGGATGTCCATCATGCAGTGCTATGTTTGCCCAGTTCTACCTCCAGCTGCCTCACATTTCCCCCTGCCCCCCAAATACAGTTTAGGCACAGAAGGCCTCGGCGCCAGACACATATGGCAAACAAAGGGACAGGCAAATCAGTGGCTAAATCACCTTGCATGGCGTTGGACCCAACAGTGCCCAAACATGTGGGCACCCTTTTACTACGGAACATATGGAAAGAAGTAGTGCTTCATTGATCAACGATGATGATTTCGCACTATAACAAGAACAACAACGATAACAACAACGACAATGACAGCGAAGACTTCGCGGAGAGAGATGCTAGTGGTACAGCCAGAGTCCAATGAACATCGGGAAACCGGGGTATAAGAGAAGAAAACAAGGGATGCAGAGAGGGATCGATCACACAAACCAAAGACAACAAAAGAAGGGAATCCCGTCCCTCGGTGTCCATGAAAGAAAAAAAAGAGAAAAGAAAAGAGAAAAAAGGAAGACAAGAAAAAAAACGAACGATGGTGGAGGGGATCAATCATCATACAAAACGACCATGCTGCGCAAAATCCAGATAAAAACAAATAAAGGGACTGTAAACAGGAAATACATGTGCAAAGGGCTCAGAAAGTGCAGATTGACATATCTCAGGGCACATGGTCGTAGAAATTTGGTAATTTGAAGCACGGAAGTAAAAACTCATGTCACTCAGATCACATTAGAGGGACCATTGCTGACATTCAGCGGCTTGGTCTTACTCACGCGCTCTTCCTCGTCCAGTCGTCGTCTCCAATCCGCTAGACTGTCGCTCATTAGAGCAGGCCCCTCGCTGTTCTCCTTTGTCGGAGTCCGCTCCAGGTCCAGCTGGCTACTCAGGCGATAGTTGCGGTTGGTGCTCTCCCAGTGGGTGCGGAGGGCCTCTAGCTCGTTGGCGAGAGAATCCAAGGCCATCGAGCCACGGTTATCGGGAAAGGAGGTGGACTCCTGGGAGACATTGCTATCGGCTCGTGGCCGACCGCTGACGGTGTTGCTAGATGCGTTGCTATGACTGCGTGAGATCCCGTTAGGACCCTGTCCATGTTGTGATTGACGGCGATAGTGGCCCACCGAAGTCTCAACTTGCTCCAATAACATGTTCACCTTCTTTTCCGCATCCGAGGCGCGGGTCTCGAGCTGAGTGTTTTCTTGCTTCAGCTGATCCAGTTCGGCGCGACTGCGCTCCGCAGTAGACAGAATCTCTTCCTTGATGCGCTGATGCTCATTCTGTGCAGTCGCCTTCTCGGTCTCAGCGGCCACAAGCTGCGCCTTGAGCTCGGATATTTGCTCCTCCAGGCTTCCAAGAGAAGAAGAAGTGTTGTGCTCAAGGTCTGCGATGGACTTCTGTAGGCGGGAGCGTTCGACCTCCCATTCAGCAGACATCTCTGACTGGTTGCCAGCATCCTCCACGTTCTTCTGAGTAGCTTCCAATTCAGACTGCATCTTGGCATTCTGTGTCTTATACCGACTCAATTCATCCTTCATGCGTTTGAGCATCTTCTCGGTGCCCTTCACATAGTGCACTGCGGACTGGTAATCATTCTCAAGCTGCTCTAACTTCTCTCGGAACGCTTTGTCCGCTTCCTGCTCTCGAGTCTCAAAGCCGGACTTCATGTCGTCGTGAGCCTTCATGCTATTAGATAGCTGTTGCTCAAGCTCCCGTAACCTGCTCTGCTCTGGAGTTCCAAAGCGGGATCCAGGGGACTCGAGACGGGGAGACCGACGGCTATCAGGATTGATGCCACGCTCGCCAAGCAGATCCTTCAGAGCCGCATGTTGAACGTTCAGGGCACCAGTTTCCCGTTGTTGAGATTCCAGCTGAGTCTTCAAATCCCGACTTTCTGCAGTTGCTGCTTGGCTCTCCTTCATAGCACTTTGAAGCTGTCGGCGAAGTTGCAAGCCTTCTCGGCTGGCCTGTTCTTGATAAGCCTCGAGTCCGGCAATCCGCTCCTCAGCGCGACGTAATTTGTCGGCAGCGGAATCGGCAGCAGCCTGATTAGCCTTCGCAAGGGTCGAAGACCGTTCAATCTGAGCCTCAAGGGCGGCAACCCTCTGGTCAGCCCGGGATCGGATGGAAGCTTCCAGATCTGTCGAGGAAGCACGCTCGAGGCCTGACACAAACGCCAGCTTGTGGGTTTCTGCTTCCTTAGCGTGACTCTCAGCCAACTCCTCGGCATCACGAAGACGGCAATTGACATTTTCAAGCTCGGTGGTTCGCTCCTCATACTCAGATCGAAGTTGCAGAAGTTTCTTCTCCAAGCCCTCGCGGCGTTCTCTTTCCTCGCTCAACTGCTTCTCAACAATTGCTGCTTTGGCGGCAGATGCGGCGACTGCTTCTCGAAGGCCACCAAAATTACTTCCAAAGTCCTTCAAACGGCCCGAGTGGTCCTCAACCTGCGTCAAAAGCTCCTCCTTATCCAGGGTGATCTGTCGCAGGGAAGCTTCCGCTTCAGAACGGAGCAAAGACTCTTCCCGAGCAGTGGCTTCGGCACGGTGGAGCTCAGCACGAAGATTCTCCGCCTCCAGGGCATTATTTGACATTTCGAGCTCTGCCAGACGCTTCCGAGTGGCCTCGTTGGTATCTTCTGCCAGCTCTTTCGCTTGTCTCTCTTGCGACAGATCTGTTGCCAAAATATCCAATTTGGCCCTGAGCTCAGACTGGGATGCTAGAGCCAGTGCAAGGCGACGACCCATGTCAGTAGGTCGCTCATCTTCTCCCTCGCGAGGAGCTTCAGGCTGGGGCGTTCCACGTTGACTGCCGCCATGAGCAGCAAGTCTGGCGCGGGAATAAGCTGCCTCGTTCACAGCCACATCACGTTGATGCTCAACTTCGGCAATGCGCTTGGAAGCGATGGCTGCTTGGCGGTCCACTGTCGTCTGCATTTTGCTCAACTCTGCCCGCATTGCCAGGAAAGCCTCGACCAAAGGACGGTCCTCGTCATTTAGTGAATCTCTGGCACGATCATCGAGGGCGGGACTGCTTGAAGCATTGGGTACATATCCACCCTTTCTCGCCAGTGCTAGCTCAGAAGCATACCAGGCATTTCGAGCCTTGGCGGCCTCGAGTTCTTTTATTAAGGCCTCTTGGTGGGGGGGTTAGTCGTGGCGATCGAGGTTCATCAGCGAGGCTTCGAGAGTTTCGATAGCTTCGAGATTCAATTGAGCCGTCAATGCTGGCTTGACGTCCAAGAACCGACTCTTCTGCACTATCCATCGAGCCACGTTGACGATGCGAACGTAGTGACCGTTGACGCGCCGGGGCGATTAGAGGGGCCGCTTCGCCTGCCTCCATAGCCTTGGCATTGATCTTTTGTTGTTGCTGAGTTGGGGTGCGTTGGCCGGACGAGGCGGAGCTATCCTGGTTATCCTTTGCGACGGGTGATTCGGCACCTCTATCAGCATTTGCAACTCGAATATCGACGGTTGGCGTGTAGCCGCGTTCATTCTTGGTGGGAGTCTTGCTCCGAGGTCCAGACTGGGGTCCGTTGGGACGAGGCCCTGGAGAAGGGGCTTGTCCGGGGGTGGGGGACCAGAGGGCGCTTGTGCAATGGAAGCGCGAGGAAGTCGAGATCCAGGTCCAAGGTTGGGGTTGGAGCCGAAGTCGCCAGGTCTACCATTTGCAGACTGCACTAGACTTTCGCGTGAGGGAGTCGGCCCACGACGGGCCCCTTGATCGGGTGTCGCATTGTGAGCCTCGCGAGATGTCCGACCCGATGGAGTGCCTTGTTTCTCCATGCCTTGTTTCTCCATGCTGGCTTTTCTGACACCGGATACTGCACCTCGATCGGCTGATTGAGAGTCGTTGGGGTATCGAATCTTTGAGGTATCGAGAATATACGCCATGCTGAGCTCCGCGGCATCTCTGGGAGCCGAGCTAGGTTCACCAGCCATCACAATGATCTGTTTACCAAAGGCAGTCATGCTATGGCCGGACCGTGGGGACGGAGCGGGTCCCATGTTCTGGAAAGAGTACCAGCGGCGTGTAGAAATTCGGAAGGCGGACAAATCTCCAAGATCAACTCCCTCATCAGTACGACCACCAAATACATACATCACATCATTGACCAAGGCTGACGCATGGCCCTCTCGAGGAGTCGGGATGAAACCCACGCAGTCCATTTCAGTCCAGGCACCAGCTCGGGGATCAAAAGTCCAGACATCGTTGAACCACTTCACGCCGTTCGTTCCACCAAATAAGTATAGTTTGTCGTTATAGCTGACGAGCGAGTGATTGGTTCGAGCGGGAGGTATTTGGCCTTCTGGAGGACCCCCCTCATGGCTGTTGGCAACAAGGACTTCCCATTTGTTTGCGGGGTTTTGGAGCTGATTCAAGTCGAATGCAATCAAATCGTTGAAGAAGAAACCCTCAACCTGTCCACCGAAGACGTAAAGCTTGGAGCCAAGAATGTTCAATGTGTGCCCATAGCGACCGGAAGGACGGGTACCGGGAGGGATGGCCCGAGACCATTGGCGAGAAGCTGAGAACCAGGGTTAGCATTAGCTGAAAGAGAGCAGGAAGGGTCTCACAACATACATGTATTTAGAAGATATAGAGTATCGTCCAGGGCGTCGGTTTCGTTGATTTTGGTATCACCACCAAAGACGATGAACGCATTTCCGACAAGTAAGCTGGCATGACCAACTCGGGGGGCCAGGTCCTTCTGACACCGTCGCAACCTGAAAGCAAGACAAACTACCACCGCTGCTTTCGACCATCCACAGGTCACCCTTGACGGTCGAGCCATCGATCAAGCCTCCCATCATGTAAATGTCGCCCTCCTTCGAAGCGACTGAATTGATGGCGGCGCCATAGCGGGGGAAGGGGTTCGTTTGAGGTGTGGAGAAATTGAGACGACGTTGCGACCATGGGTAGAGGGACGAGTTCGGACTGTGCGGAGGCACACCATTGGGGCCCTGCGGCGGTCGTTGGACCTGAAGCACAACCAGGGTCAGGGATTATGAATCCTTCGGGATGTATACCGCCATAGATTTCACCAGAAAACTTACCTGAGATTCCGACTCGGCACGTTGTCGCACTCTCACGGGATCCGGGCTAGTCGGACTGGTGGCGGAGTTGAGAGAGTTGTTGTAACTGCTGCTGGGAGTCGGGGTCTGCGCAAAAGCATTTCCTTCGACCTTGGGTCCGTTGGACAGGGGCGGCGTCGCGGATGAAGGAGAACCCTCGGAGGTGTGAACATTTCTCGTCGCCGGAGGAAGCGCGGTGCCCTGTTGGGCTTTTTTCGATTTAAACAAAAAGGCCATCGTTAATGGGTCGTAATGGGTCGTTCACGGCGCAAGTGGGAGAAATCCGGGCCCACAGGGTCGGAGTAGGGATGCGCCGGATTGCAATTTCGTCCCCCCAGCACGAATCTCGGTCTGATAAACCCGGGGGAAATCAGAGCAGAGGGGGAGAGAAGGTGGTTGGATTAGGTCGGAGTTTGAGGTTGGGAGGGGAGGAGAGAGTTGTGGAAAGGGAGGTGTGTTTTCAAGATGTGGAGTCGGAACCAGGAACCACAGGAACGAGAGTATCCATCCACACCAATCCACCAAAGAGTTCGTCCGAGATGAACAAATAAAAAAGAGGTGGGTGTGGCCAGGGGAGGGTGGGAGGGGTGATCTGAACACAACTGTTCTCACCCAATTGTGAGCATCTACACTAACAGTAAGCCTCTTGGGGGGAGGGGAGGTTAAAGGGGGTTATGAAGGAACAGAATCCAGAAGGAGATGAAAAGGAAGAAGAGGAAGAAGAGGAAGAAGAGGTCAATTTGCCGGGTTCTACTCTCATACACTAAAACTAAACATTACCAGACCCGCGGCGAGTCCCCCATCCAGTCCGTGTGGATGGGGCTGCATACTCAGGGGCAGACACAGCTCTCCCCCAACTCCCAACTCCAACGGTCGTCATTATGTGCCCTCATTCCGTTCCAGCCTTTCTTTTTGACCTACATGGCCTACATGGCTGACATAGTGTTTTTGGGAATTCTACTTGAGATATCAATTGCCTATAACCACGCAAGGCCTCTCTAGCTCTCTATCTCTCTCCCTCTCCTCTTCAGCCCATCCTCCTCCCATTGTTTGATGTGGTGGCCCAATCACACCTTCAAAGGAATGCTGTCATATGGAATGACAACGCTACCTGCCAAAGTTTACCAGCACATATTTCATAAGTTTGTCTTTTTTTTTCTATGTTGTTTTCCCCCCTCCCACTCTGTATTATGTAGAGATCAATTCTGCAAGATCCAGCTGTCAATGCCTGCTGTGCTATAATTAAGCCCGCGGGGCTGCTTTCCCGAGTGTGAAGCCCAAGATGCCCAATGGCGGCGCTGCTCGCACCACACACCACGCCCACACGGCGATCCGCACCCCACAACGTGCAAAGAACCTATTGACTTGATCGAAGTTCCAGGCACACCGTAGCTGCTGCACAGGTGCAGCAGCTACGGTGTGGTCCCAGGGGCGTCCGTAGGCGCAATTTGCGGTGTCCACTCCCAGGGGAAGCTTCCGGTGCAAAAAAAAAAAGGGGGGGGGGGGCGTGCAATCAGGTTCTCTTACCTATCAGAGGAATTCCAGATGGGTGAAGATCGCTGGCGGTCACAAGCCCTGAGCGTTCTTCTCGGTTAGACTTGTGCGTGTGCCGTTAAAATCAGACTAAATGCGCCGAGGAAAGGGATACGATATGGCTTCCGCCCTCTGGACCCTGATCTGATGATGACATAGTGTTGGACCATTCAGGATCAGACTTCAACCTCTCAGAAGCGCTCCCCGGGGAAATTTGTTTGTCTCTTGTCATGCATGAACGGCAGAGGCTCCTTACAAGCTGATCATCTAGTGAGACCATCGAGATGTATTGTGATCATCCTGATATCCGAATGCAAAATGTCTTAGACAATGTGTTCATTGGAGATGGCTGCAATGTTCCTAGGTTGATTTCTGTTGTCTTGGCAGATGCCATGAACTAAGTTGGATTTTTGGGCTGGGCGCCTCTTCAGTTCGTTATTTGGCCTGCATGCTCGGGATCGCGTCAAGTAGGTATGCTTCTGTGATTCCCCTGGGAGCTGGGAGCTGGAGTTGGCCAGCAGTCGGCAGGGTAGTGTACTTGAAGAGAGTACTTGGCACACAGGTAGTATGTACGAGTACTATGGAGTACTCGTATGCAATTGGAATACTGTAGATGATAAAAAGTGGAGAGTGTACTACTCGTAGTTAGTACTACTCGTAGAGCTTCCACCTCTCGTGGCCCGGCAAGTGGGTTATTAATAATCCGGGAGGCTGCTGCGTCCAGAACCGGACGGAGACATGGAGACCGCAACGGTTTGCTTGACCCCAGAAGCTCTGACTTGAGCTTCGATATTCACGTGGATCCCTCTAGTGATTCCCATCCTCTCGCTCTTATTGCGACCCTACGGAGACCGCGAACTCCCTTCGGTTGAGTTAAAACACGAGGTGTTGTCTTGGGCCGGCTATCACTCTTCGACTGCCCGACAACCCATCCCCCCCCCCCGCGACCAACCACCCGCCTCTCACGTCACACGATGACCGATTCTACAACATGAGGGATCCCACCGCAGAAATGGAAGAGAATACGCACCAAGCAACGACGAATGGGTCAAGTGAACCCCGCCGTACCAACAAATCAGTTCGAGTCGCGTTTGGCCCTGGGCTAGATTCAACTATCCCCGCTCGCGAAAGATCTCCAGCTCCACTGAGCAGCCACCATCGTTCCTTTACCACTGTCGAACAGAAACAACCCTCCTTGACGCCACCTGCTCGCCCCACGAGCTCCGCTGGTGAGAATGCGGCACTGGCGGTAGATACGCCGCCGCCGCGTCGGCCCTCCCCGCGTAGGGCGGAGACCAGCCGCCCAGCCATGCTGAAACGAGCACGAAGCGACTATGGACCGAGTCGTGCGCTCCTCGATAAATCAGCTGATGACGAAGAGGATTTCGCCATGCGACATGGATGGCAGGAAGAGTATACATCCAGTGAATACCTCAAGATCTTACACTCGGTAAGAATGTGCCGATCAGTGGAATGCGGCGTTGATATCGGAACTAATATCCATACTCTCAGAATTTCTACATGTATTTCACGGAAAAGCGCCACGAGACAAACGGCATTCCCAGAGATCCCGTGGGAAGCTGGCCAAGTCAAGACTGGCGCATGAAAGATCGATTGAAGACTGTGTCGGCGGCCCTTGCGATCTGTTTGAATATTGGCGTCGACCCTCCCGATGTCGTCAAGACAAACCCAACCTCAAAGCTCGAATGCTGGGTGGATCCCACCTCAACTACCGGTGGTGGGCAGAACAAGATCATGGAACAGATCGGCAAGAAGCTTCAAGAGCAGTATGAAACTCTCAGCCTTCGGACTCGATACAAGCAATATCTGGATCCTTCCGTGGATGAAACAAAGAAATTTTGCATTTCGTTGCGTCGGAATGCTAAGGATGAACGGGTTCTTCTCCATTACAACGGTCATGGAGTCCCCTTGCCCACTCAATCCGGCGAAATATGGGTCTTCAACAAGAACTATACTCAATACATCCCGGTGCCCCTTTACGATCTGCAGTCCTGGCTTGCAGGCCCAAGTCTATTTGTCTTCGATGTGTCCCATGCTGGCAATATCGTCTCAAATTTCCATACCTTTGTGGAGAAGCATGAGAAGGAGAATGCCGAAGCGAAGAAACGAGACCCCAACGCGATCGTTCAGAACTATGGTGACTGCATTCTTCTTGCGGCTTGCCAGAAGAACGAGTCACTTCCTACCAACCCAGATCTTCCCGCAGATCTTTTCTCTTGCTGTCTCACAACCCCGATCGAGATTGCTTTACGCTTCTTCATCCTACAAAACCCACTCCGAACAGATATCTCAATCGATGACTTCCATGTCCCCGGTCGTCTCCAGGATCGTCGCAGTCCACTCGGCGAACTCAACTGGATTTTTACCGCTATAACCGATACCATCGCATGGAACACCCTTCCTCGTGCCCTCTTTAAGAAGCTTTTTCGGCAGGACCTTATGGTTGCAGCTCTCTTCCGCAATTTCTTACTTAGCGAACGTATTATGCGTTCGTATAAGTGCCATCCAATATCGACCCCTGAACTCCCAGAAACACACCATCACCCCTTATGGAAGAGTTGGGATCTTGCCGTTGAAATGGTACTCTCGCAGTTGCCTGCTTTAATCGATCAGGAAGAAGGCCGCCGGCAGTATGAATACCAGCATTCTACATTCTTTGCTGAACAGCTCACTGCATTCGAAGTCTATCTCTCCTCTGGTCCCACCAAAAGGAGTCCACCAGATCAACTACCCATCGTACTGCAAGTACTTCTCAGTCAAGCGCACCGGTTGCGAGCATTGATCTTACTCAGCAAATTTCTGGATCTGGGACCATGGGCTGTCCATCTCGCCCTTAGCATCGGAATCTTCCCCTACGTCGTCAAGCTGCTGCAGTCAGCTGCACAGGAGCTCAAGCCAGTCATGGTCTTCATCTGGGCAAGAATTATGGCCGTCGACCACACTGTTCAAAACGATCTTTTGAAAGACAACGGCATCCATTACTTCATCTCCATACTTAATCCATCTTCTCCCATTCCTGTCGGTAACGCCAGCGAGCATCGCGCCATGTGTGCATTCATAGTCTCAATATTCTGCAAAAACTACCCCCAGGGCCAGAATGTTTGCTTGTCTGGTGAATTATTTGACTCCTGTCTAAGGCACCTTGGGGATGTTGAGAACCCTCTCTTGCGACAATGGTCATGCTTATGTCTCAGCATGCTTTGGTGCGACTTCCCTGAAGCGAAATGGATGGGTATCCGCTCTGCTGCCCCTTCGAAGCTCTGTGAATTGAACTTTGATCCGGTTCCCGAGGTTCGAGCCGCAATGCTTCACGCGGTCACAACTTTCCTTGGTATTCCTGACTTAACAGATCAAGTTGCGCAAATTGAGGAGTCGCTAGCCCTATCTGTTCTACCTATGTCAACGGACGGCAGCGTACTTGTGAGAAAAGAGCTTCTTGTTTTCTTCTCGACCTTCGTCAAACGTCACCAAAACAAGTTCTTGGTGGCTGCATATGATGAATTGCAGGATGAGAAAAAGTCTCTAGTACATCGGCTTCAAATTGAGAGTGGTCGTTCAGAGACTCAAAAGAGCGATCAGGTCTCAGAGTCGAAACAGCACCAGCTTTCTCGCAACACCACCTTTGGAGCCCTGTGGAAACAAGTCTTGATCTTTTCTGTTGACCCTCATCCCGATATTTCTCG